TTTTAGCTTGAAGCTAGTATCTCAATCTTTTATCTGAACTTACAGGGAAAGTTATTATTCTCATAATGAAGTCCATTTTGATTATGATTCATGCTAACTGTGCACCTCTGTTGTACAGATTATACGTGACTCTGGGTAAAATGTAAATAAGGACAATCCTTGAAAACTCAGTCCAACCGAAACGAAACTGCATCCAGTCTTGGTGCTAAGCTAAGCTAACAGTTCCCCCTGTGTCCAGTCTTGGTGCTAAACTAGGCTAACAGTTCCCCCTGTGTCCAGTCTTGGTGCTAAACTAGGCTAAGCCTAACCTGGACTTGTCTGTGTACTGGACTCTGATGAAACGGGACTCTGGAGAAGAAGAGATTTACAGGAATGTGTTTTTATAAAGTTTTATTGAAATGAATGTCTCTGAATGTCAAGTAATGTTGATAAAGTTTGATTACAACTAAAATGTTGAACAAAAGTTCATTTGACCCTTTCTGATACAAAGAACTAAGAACTGAATGTTTATCAGTCAGAAGTTTGGGAATAATTCAGTCTCACAGGTTCAGCCTGACAGACGAGTGGGTTTGCTTTTATTTTGACGGGAAACAACAGAGAGTCTGTCATTCCTCTTTTATTAGGGTAGGTGTATGACATCACCTCTGACACGTCAGAAGAGGGAGGAGCTTCAGCTCAAACTGTTGAGGTAAATACACCTGTCAGTCAGTTGATCCAACTATCACATGAGACTACTGATTAGTCTGAACTGGATCAGTCTGACCTGGATCAGTCTGGTTTTAACTGGATAAGACTGACCTGGATCAGCCTGGTCTGGTTGTTCACAGATACTGAAATTCAAAGTATTTTTGTACCCTGAGAACAGACGGAAATGTCTCTGATGAATCTGATCTATTTTTCTTCTTTCACTCTGACTGTAACTCAAACTGGAATAAAAACATTTGTTTCATGTTCAGCTGCTCGTCCAATCGTCAGTCAGACCCAAACTCAGGACCTGCGTCCAGACAGGACAGGAAGTGTGTGCATGTGGGGGGGTCGAGGATGGAATCTTCAGGTCCAATCGAGCTGCACCATTTTCCTAACAACATAAACCAGAGCAGAGGCTGCAGAAAGGTTCTTATGGTCACAGAGGGACACTGAACAAAAAGTTCAAGACAATTCAGCTTCGGCAGCGGGCGGGCGTGTGCGTGAGGCGAGCACTTCCCCTCCCTCTGACAGGGACACCTGCTGCTGAACACAGACCGTTCCTGCTGCTCCCTGAAAACAGATTTCTGTTCACCTGCTGCTCAGAAGGAGCCTGTTCTGATCGGGGCTCTGAAGGTAACGCCCTGGCAGCGGCAAACAGCTTTGGTTTAATATTTGAGATCTTTTCATGTGACAACAGTGAAGAAATTACCCTTTGCTCCAGTGTAAAGTAGTGAGCGTACAGCTTGTAGAACAGCGTAAAGTAGCGAGCGTGCAGCTTGTCTAACAGCGTAAAGTAGCGAGCGTACAGCTTGTAGAACAGCGTAAAGTAGTGAGTGTGCAGCTTGTAGAACAGTGTAAACCTGCTGTCCCCTCAAAATAACACACCACACAGCCGTTAATGTCTAAACTGCTGGCAACAAAAGTGAGGACACCCCTCAGTGAAAATGTTAAGTTGGGCCCAAAATGTCAATATTTTGTGGGGCCCCCATTATTTTGTCAGATGTCACAGTACATGTTGGCAGTCACGGTTCCCTCAGTGAACTGCAGCCCCAGACCAGGACACTCCCACCACCATGCTGGACTGTAGGCAGGACCCACCTGTCTTTGTCCTCCTCACCTGGTTGCTGCAACACACGCTTGACACCATCTGAACCAGATAAGTTTATCTTGGTCTCATCAGACCACAGGACCTGGTTCCAGTAATCCATGTCCACAGTCTGCTGGTCTTCAGCAAACTGTTTGCAGCTTTCTTGTGCATCATCTTTAGAAGAGGCTTCCTTCTGGGTCGACAGCCATGCAGACCGGTTTGATGCAGTGTGCGGCGTATGGGCTGAGCCCTGACAGGCCGACCCCCCCACCCCTTCAACCTCTGCAGCAATGCCGGCAGCACTCAGACGTCTGTTTCCCAAAGACAACCTCTGGATGTGACGCTGAGCACGTGCACTCAGCTGCTTTGGTCGACCATGGCGAGGCCTGTTCTGAGTGGAACCTGTCCTGGTGAACCGCTGTATGGTCTCGGCCACCGTGCTGCAGCTCAGTTTCAGGGTCTTGGCGGTCTTCTTACAGCCTCGGCCATCTTTATGTAGAGCAACCGTTCTTTGTTTCAGATCCTCAGTTCTTTACCATGAGGTGCCATGTCGAACTTCCAGTGAGCGTTATGAGGGAGCATGAGAGCGATAACACCAAGAGCCTTTCCAAAAACCAGACCCTCGCCACTTCCACTCTGACATGGAGTGAACTCTGGTCGGAGTCGCCCTCACAGCCAAATCGAGCTCCCTAAGCCGCATGGTGTACATACACAGCAGACAACTTTCAGACGAACTACCCTCTCCCGAGCGTAAATAGGATCTGACGTTACCGCGGCACTCACTGCTGGAATATGTGGATCAAATAAACAACAGATTATTATTAAGATTCAGGAGTGATTTTGAGGAAAAATTTGTTTTTTGCAATAACGAAACTGAAAGCATTTGTCAATTATTTTGTGTTTATGAACCAAATTATTTTGGTTGGATTTCAAATATTTCTTTAAGACTCTGACTTTACAGATTAACGAAAAATAAATAGTAGCCTATATTCTTTTATGAAAAGATTGATCGTCATTGTAAAAGTAAAGCAGCATTTAAACCTCTTTATCTTATATGATAGGGTTAGAAGTGAAGTATTTGAAACAGTTAAAATATATAAAGACAACTATTTTTCTTTAATGCCTTTGTTTCTTGTTACTGACCCCCCTGTGTACCTAGTTGTGCCATGTTCTATTATTCTGTCGTTTAATGTTGGCTATTTAGTTTTGGCTGAAGATTTTCATATGAGATGAATACGATTCGACAACAGTTGGATTGTCTATCAGACAAGAGCATTTTTTTAAGAAATATAACCTTTAGGCTATATTTAGGTTTCTGAAGTGGGGCTGTTTGAAGTACTTGTACACAGTCAGTGTATTACCTGCAGTACATGGAGGTCATCGAGCTGTACTGCTGTGGGGGGGCCGGCTGCTAACGGGTTTTACTGCTTCAGTAGCGGCGTACAGGGTCCAGTACACCGATCAGCCTGAACATTAGGACCACCTGCAGGCCGCACTGACCCGTCTCCGTGGACCCCTCTGTGTATTCTGACCCCTTTCTATCAGGACCAGCAGAAACCTCTTCAGCAGCAAGTCTGTTGGATCGGACCACGCGGGCCAGCCTTCACTCACCTGTGGGGTTTAAAGTGGGTCACACTGAACCGTCCTCCTGATCGCAGCCATTTAATCAATCACTCAGTCAGTCAGAGCTGTGAAACAGATTTATTAAGACGACTGTCGAACACATTTAAAAGTTTCACAAAGAAACGACAGAAAATATTTACAGTTTCTGATCAGTTATCAGTTATTGATCATCAGCTATCGGACGAGTGGACCAATAACAGATCAGGTAGTGAGATATCAACAAAGATAGGAGTGTTGAGAAGATGCTTCCTTCTGCGCTGCATAATGAAATATAGAAATATAATGTAGTTAGAAAAACGGGGTGAAGTAGATGCTTCACACTGTTTAAAGTATTTGCTGTTTCATGATTACACATCTATTTTGTAATAATGCAATAATATGAGCTTTGGCTGCATTAACATTGATTTGATCATAAGAAGCTTTATCAATCAGGTCTGAAGAAAGACGCTGTATACTGTAGTGAGATGCAGAGACGGGAGTGTTAAAGAGATGCTTCACTCTGTAGCATGTGTGGATACAGAACCACAGATAAGGACTGAGGTAAGAGCGTCACTCGGTTCATTTCTTGAAGAACTTCTTGTTGAGGAGGAAGATGAGCAGATTGACGTTGATCTTTGCCTTGTCGAACATCTTCATCACCGCCACGCCCTCGTACTGCAGCTGCAGCAGGTCCTGTAACAGACAACCACCCCCCCCCCCCCAGTATCATGGGTAAGACAGACACACTTTAAAATATGGAGGACAAACACACTAAAGTCCAACCTGGCTGGCACCTGGCCTGGTTTGTACCTGGTATTTCAGCAGGAACTCTTCCATCTCCACGCCGAGGAATCGAGCCTTGACGTTGAAAGTTCCTTTCTCAGGTCCAGGAACGATGTCAAAAACCACGTTCTTAAACCTGGAACAGTTCAGATCGGATCACTATTCAACTGTTATCTAAATGAGAAAATTAAGATGTAATCTAAACAATGGAACCGAAAACCAGTCTTGGTCTGACGTGCGGTCCAGATTCAGTCCGGCCTCCCTGATCTTTCTAAGCAGCTTTAAACTGCTACAGTCCATAGTTCATGTTGTCATTGACCTGTTGGCTCTTCTTCTCTAACCCTGCTGGTTTGTTCAACTGGCTGCACTCCACGTGTCACTTTGCTGCCTTCTTGGCCGGGTCACCGCTGACAGACATTTAATGGTTAAATTAAAATACAGCGCCTGAGAATTAAATGTCAAACAGCTTTTTCATTTTCATTTGCTCATAGAACGAGTCTGAGAAAATTACATGCGATTATTGTTTTTTCATTCATGTGGAAAAGTTCATGTGCTGGTTTTAATATTGTGCCCTACAGGCTTCCATACGCCTGTGATGCTAAATTAACGTCAGCAGGTTCTGCAGGTGTGTGTTCTGCCGGTTCTGCAGGTGTGTGTTCTGCAAATGTGTGTTCTGCCGGTTCTGCAGGTGTGTGTTCTGCCGGTTCTGCAGGTGTATGTTCTGCAAGTGTGTGTTCTACAGGTTCTGCAGGTGTGTGTTCTGCCGGTTCTGCAGGTGTGTGTTCTGCAAGTGTGTGTTCTGCCGGTTCTGCAGGTGTATGTTCTGCAAGTGTGTGTTCTACAGGTTCTGCTGATGTATGTTCTGCAGGTGAGTGTTCTGCCGGTTCTGCAGGTGTGTGTTCTGCAAGTGTGTGTTCTGCCGGTTCTGCAAGTGTGTGTTCTACAAGTGTGTGTTCTGCCGGTTCTGCAAGTGTGTGTTCTGCAAGTGTGTGTTCTGCAGGTGTGTGTTCTATAGGTTCAGCAGGTGTGTGTCCTGCAAGTGTGTGTTCTGCCGGTTCTGCAGGTGTGTGTTCTGCAAGTGTGTGTTCTGCCGGTTCTGCAGGTGTGTGTCCTGCAAGTGTGTGTTCTGCAGGTGTGTGTTCTACAGGTTCAGCAGGTGTGTGTCCTGCAAGTGTGTGTTCTGCCGGTTCTGCAGGTGTGTGTTCTGCAAGTGTGTGTTCTGCAAGTGTGTGTTCTGCCGGTTCTGCAGGTGTGTGTTCTGCAAGTGTGTGTTCTGCAGGTGTGTGTCCTGCAAGTGTGTGTTCTGCCGGTTCTGCAGGTGTGTGTTCTGCAAGTGTGTGTTCTGCAGGTGTGTGTCCTGCAAGTGTGTGTTCTGCCGGTTCTGCAGGTGTGTGTCCTGCAAGTGTGTGTTCTGCCGGTTCTGCAGGTGTGTGTTCTGCAAGTGTGTGTCCTGCAAGTGTGTGTTCTGCCGGTTCTGCAGGTGTGTGTTCTGCAAGTGTGTGTTCTGCAGGTGTGTGTCCTGCAAGTGTGTGTTCTGCCGGTTCTGCAGGTGTGTGTTCTGCAAGTGTGTGTTCTACAGGTTCTGCAAGTGTGTGTTCTGCAGGTGTGTGTTCTGCAAGTGTGTGTTCTACAGGTGTGTGTTCTACAGGTGTGTGTTCTGCAAGTGTGTGTTCTACAGGTGTGTGTTCTACAGGTTCTGCAGGTGTGTGTTCTACAGGTGTGTGTTCTACAGGTTCTGCAGCTGTGTGTTCTGCAGGTGTGTGTTCTGCAGGTGTGTGTTCTCACTGTGTAGCGGGCAGGTCTTGGATCTCTAACAGAACGCCTTTCTCCTGCAGGCGGGCGGCGTTGTAGCTCAGAGCAGGAAGCTTCTTCTTCCCTTTGCTCTCTGCTGCCTTCTTATTAGTCGATTTGCTGCAACACATAACCAATCACAAGATCAGAACAGGTCCTACATGAACTCAAACAGCCAATGAGAGTTCGGAACGGTGCAATTAGGAACCAATCAGCGTTTTCTCTAATGATCACCAATCAAATCTTTTTCACGTATCAACACACAACGTGTCACACTGTTCACAGACCCAATAAGAACCCAGGACAGGAACGTGTGTGTGTGTGTGTACCTGGTGGCGGTCAGGTTGTCCAGACAGGAAGTGATGTAATGTCTGTAGTAGTCCACCTGTTCGCTGTGGAAGCTGCTCTTCGCCTGCAGGCTGCTGAGAGTCTGATGGAGCTTCTGAAGCTCTGCCCCCCGACGCTGGCGGTGCAGGCGCTGCTGACGGATGTCCTGGAGGGGGGGAAGGTGTTAAAGGTCAAGTGACATCAGACATAGTGTGTGTGCGTGCGTGCGTGCGTGATGGGTCACCTTGGCGATCATCTGTAGGATCTGGTTTTCAGACTGAGGCGGTCTCAGGACTCCAAGTCCCTCTAGACGACGAAGACTCCTCAGGATCTTCCTCTTCTTCTCCTCTAATCTCAGGTTGCCGTTGGCGACTAGCGACTGGTTCCTCTTCATCTTCTCGGGTGTGCGAGCGTCCTGCCGAGCACGCCGCTGCATCAGCCAATCATGACACGCTTCCTGCGGAGGAGGAGGAGACGACTGGAGTTCACCCGAGGTCCACCTGTACCCGTGTGTGCGTGCAGGAAACTAACACCCGCCATGTTCGGTGTGATCTCACCATATAATATCTGTCAGTAACTGACAGCCGCCGCTTTCTTTACGTGTCGCACTGAAAGCAGAAAGATCCGCCAACACGCCTCATTCACACTTGGGCGTAATCCTGGATCTCTTTAGCATTTAGCTAGCTAGCTACCTAGTGTGGCGTAGCGTTTAGGAACCAAACGAACAGAACGCCGACAAAGAGGAGGCTGAAGCGGAACATAAATAAGTAATCCACTATCAGAGCTTCTCCCCTCAGATCAAAGACTACTCAGAACCAGGAGCCAGACTTCCTGGACTGATTGTAGAAGGTGAGCAGTGATGAGGAGAAGGAATAACAAACATCTTTATTCATTTAACAGCAGTAATATCATTTTGCTTCTTCAGCCTCTTCCTCAGCTGTCAGATTGACATCAACCCTTTTATCTGGATGGATTTGTGTGTGTGTGCGTGTACCTGGTCATGTGATGCAGATGCTCTCAGGATGTCACCCAGAGAGTCACCTGACTGAGTCCTGATGACGTCGATGATCAGCTGCTTGGTGCTGCAGGAAACAACAGGAAGTGACCTCAGTGTGAACATTCATGAAGGACGGTGATCTGAGCGCGCTCACCACTGCAGCTGGTTAAACACACCTGAGCAGGTGAAGCTAACAGGCTAACATGCTAAGCTACCTGAGCAGCAGTCCTCTGGCGTCTGGTTTGTCGTCAGACTCGTTGAAGATGTCGAACTTGTTGGTGAGAGTCAGAGAGACCTCCATCTTGCTGCTCTGAGATGGATCTGGATCTGCTGACGAAGACTCTCCTGAGGAGCAGAAAGCACTGGTTCACTGACAGAACGCCGTCACTGAACAGACAAAACGCCTTCTAACGTGCACACGCCAGCTGTTGTTTTTTGATTGGTTGGTTGTTCTGCACTGCTGGGTCTAAACCAAGCAGGACCCTCCGGGTGTGAAAACCTGAAACCTGCGTCCTCTCTAGCGGCCAGCAGGGGGCGACTTAAACCTGCGTCCTCTCTAGCAGCCAGCAGGGGGCGACTTAAACCTGCGTCCTCTCTAGCGGCCAGCAGGGGGCGACTTAAACCTGCGTCCTCTCTAGCAGCCAGCAGGGGGCGACTTAAACCTGCGTCCTCTCTAGCAGCCAGCAGGGGGCGACTTAAACCTGCGTCCTCTCTAGCGGCCAGCAGGGGGGCGACTTAAACCTGCGTCCTCTCTAGCGGCCAGCAGGGGGCGACTTAAACCTGCGTCCTCTCTAGCAGCCAGCAGGGGGCGACTTAAACCTGCGTCCTCTCCAGCAGCCAGCAGGGGGCGACTTAAACCTGCGTCCTCTCCAGCAGCCAGCAGGGGGCGACTTAAACCTGCGTCCTCTCTAGCAGCCAGCAGGGGGCGACTTAAACCTGCGTCCTCTCTAGCGGCCAGCGGGCGACTTAAACCTGCGTCCTCTCTAGCAGCCAGCAGGGGGCGACTTAAACCTGCGTCCTCTCTAGCAGCCAGCAGGGGGCGACTTAAACCTGCGTCCTCTCTAGCAGCCAGCAGGGGGCGACTTAAACCTGCGTCCTCTCCAGCAGCCAGCAGGGGGCGACTTAAACCTGCGTCCTCTCTAGCAGCCAGCAGGGGGCGACTTAAACCTGCGTCCTCTCTAGCGGCCAGCAGTGGGCGACACCAGCGGCTGCAGAAAGAAGTGTGATTGTAAAGAAGTCTGTGAGAAAATGTTTCTACTTGCCAGCTGATTTATTCCCTCAGTAAACACTTTCCTGATGAGTTTCTGGTCTCAGTCGCTAGTTTCAAGTCTTCTTCAACACAGCATGATGTTCATTTAGTAAATTATGGTCCCATTTAGAGGAACAGAGACCAGGAAGGACTCACTTCCTGTCTGCCGCTGTGGAAAAGCTGCACAGAAGTTGTGGTTTCAGGAGCAACTCGTACAGAGCTCAGTGACCACCTACTTTCACGGCTCCGGTTCTGGAGGTGAAGAATCCTCCTTCTTTAAAGAGCTTTAAGCCTGGAACCGATCCAACCAGCTACGATAGGAATCGTCACCACAGAACATTTGAACCGGAGTACAAAAATGTGTACTGTGTTATGTAAACGAGTGAAGGAACTACTCTTCCCATAATGCCTTGGGAACAATACCTTTTCCAAAGACGGCCAGCCTAACGATAGTTTAGCTTCTTCTTGAACTGAATCCTTCTCATAGTGTTTATATCGTTGACGGCTTGTAGTTTGTGTTGTCGTCGACGTGGTTCAGAACTTTGTTCCCGACGCCATCACGGCTCGAGGGCCCGGCAGGGTCGGTTCTACCGGTTCCCCACATGTGTCACAGGGAAGAACCGGTGATCGTTTAGTGACCCAGCTACATTCCTGTAGCCAACGTTCTGCTAACATTAGGTGGTTTAGTCTCTGAGAGCAATCACGCTGCTCTGTGGGGAACGTGATGTAAACCGTTCAGTGCCAACAGGAGCCAACGTGACATTCGAGCTCCACCAGTCAGAGAGGATGCTGTTACACCTGAGGACTGTGGGTAGGTTGGTAACATACGGACTTGTACAGGAGCAGAAACTATGGTATCACAGTCTGGCAGCTTGTGGGGAGTCCACATCAGACAGTTACAGAGTTATGGATCAGAATCAGAACCCCAAACAGATCATGATCCTCACTGTTGAGCTCTATAAAGCTGATGTGTTACTGTCTGGGATCAACCAATCAGTGCACATCGTTACAACACTTTGCTGTTGCATCAGCTCCTCTGAGACCGACAGGTACCTTCAACCCCTGCCTCTGTAGATCCACCAGAACCAGACCAGAACCCAAAACAAGTCACACAGCAGAGAACAGGATCAGTGATCAAGCAACAGTGTGAGCTTTAGTACCGATGAGTTCCTGCAGGGTGGGCACTGATCCCAGATCCTTCAGCAGCAGCCTGAGGGGGTCCGAGGGGTCCGGACCCAAAACCTCCTGATGCTCCAACAGCAGCTGGACACACACACACACACACAGAGTCAGATGCAGGATCCATGTCAGCAGCTTTAAGGGGCACTGAGCACCAGAGCAGGCAGCAGGTTCACCAGGAGGTTCACCAGGATCAACACATGTATGTTTGCTTTGAAAATATATCATGCTGAAGGTGCATCAGCGGCACCCTGATCTTGATCCAGGGTCAGGGTCTGTAACAGACCTGGTGCGTGTTGAGCAGCTCGCTGACGGAGATGTAGACCACAGGTTTGTTGACGATGAGCAGCTCGGAGTATTCGTCCATGTTGAATCTGTCCTCTGGCTCAGGAACGTCACAGACACATAACAGGAACTTCCTGCCAGACAGAAAACAGGGCATGAATCTCCCTTCCCAGGGTTTCAGGACAGCGACTCTGTCAGAGAGGTGATTTAAAATACTGTTGTTGGTTTATAATATAGGTTCACATGCCAGACCTCAGAGGTCAAAGGTCGTTCTATGATTCTGACCTGAACTTGCTGTGGGTCTGGCTGATGTACTGGTTCAGGTCTTTGACGTGGTATCCGTCTCCGTGGAAGTGCTTGTTGGCGGCGGTGTGCTGCAGCATGCGGGCGATGGAGCCCAGGATGTGACGCTGCTCTGGCTGCAGGGCCGAGCCGGCGGACCGGTCCACCACGTCGAAACCGTCCGGAGCCACGACGGCCGGGTTCATGTAGCGATAGTAGACCAGGTTACCGACAATCTGAGGGAGAGGAGGTCACACAGGAAGGAAGTGAAGCGACGCTCGTGAGCTGGAGCACGTCAGAAACACCATTTCACTACTATTAACAGATCAGCTGATATCTGGTTCAGGCTCCACGTCCTGGACGTTACCTTGTAGAGTTCGTCTTCGCTGGCTTCAGGAAACTTTGCCTTCAGAGAGTCTCTGAGAACCTTTGCTGTGTAACGTAGACCATATCTACAACACACACAAACACAACATTAATGTGCTGTTGTGAGAGGAGACCTACGGTAGTTTGTGCAGGTGACCGAGAGGAGACCTACGGTAGTTTGTGCAGGTGAAAGGGAGGAGACCTACGGTAGTTTGTGCAGGTGACCGAGAGGAGACCTACGGTAGTTTGTGCAGGTGAAAGGGAGGAGACCTACGGTAGTTTGTGCAGGTGACCGAGAGGAGACCTACGGTAGTTTGTGCAGGTGAAAGGGAGACCTACGGTAGTTTGTGCAGGTGAACGGGAGGAGACCTACGGTAGTTTGTGCAGGTGAACGGGAGGAGCAGGTGAACGGGAGGAGACCTACGGTAGTTTGTGCAGGTGAAAGGGAGGAGACCTACGGTAGTTTGTGCAGGTGAAAGGGAGGAGACCTACGGTAGGAGACCTACGGTAGTTTGTGCAGGTGAACGGGAGGAGACCTACGGTAGTTTGTGCAGGTGAAAGGGAGGAGACCTACGGTAGGAAACCTACGGTAGGAGACCTACGGTAGTTTGTGCAGGTGAACGGGAGGAGACCTACGGTAGTTTGTGCAGGTGAAAGGGAGGAGACCTACGGTAGGAGACCTATGGTAGTTTGTGCAGGTGAACGGGAGGAGACCTGCGGTAGTTTGTGCAGGTGACCGAGAGGAGACCTACGGTAGTTTGTGCAGGTGAAAGGGAGGAGACCTACGGTAGGAGACCTACGGTAGTTTGTGCAGGTGAAAGGGAGGAGACCTACGGTAGGAGACCTACGGTAGTTTGTGCAGGTGAACGGGAGGAGACCTACGGTAGTTTGTGCAGGTGAAAGGGAGGAGACCTACGGTAGGAAACCTACGGTAGGAGACCTACGGTAGTTTGTGCAGGTGAACGGGAGGAGACCTACGGTAGTTTGTGCAGGTGAAAGGGAGGAGACCTACGGTAGGAGACCTACGGTAGTTTGTGCAGGTGAACGGGAGGAGACCTGCGGTAGTTTGTGCAGGTGACCGAGAGGAGACCTACGGTAGTTTGTGCAGGTGAAAGGGAGGAGACCTACGGTAGTTTGTGCAGGTGAAAGGGAGGAGACCTACGGTAGTTTGTGCAGGTGAACGGGAGGAGACCTACGGTAGGAGACCTACGGTAGTTTGTGCAGGTGAACGGGAGGAGACCTACGGTAGTTTGTGCAGGTGACCGAGAGGAGACCTACGGTAGTTTGTGCAGGTGAACGGGAGGAGACCTACGGTAGTTTGTGCAGGTGAAAGGGAGGAGACCTACGGTAGTTTGTGCAGGTGAAAGGGAGGAGACCTACGGTAGGAGACCTACGGTAGTTTGTGCAGGTGAACGGGAGGAGACCTACGGTAGTTTGTGCAGGTGAAAGGGAGGAGACCTACGGTAGGAAACCTACGGTAGGAGACCTACGGTAGTTTGTGCAGGTGAACGGGAGGAGACCTACGGTAGTTTGTGCAGGTGAAAGGGAGGAGACCTACGGTAGGAGACCTATGGTAGTTTGTGCAGGTGAACGGGAGGAGACCTGCGGTAGTTTGTGCAGGTGACCGAGAGGAGACCTACGGTAGTTTGTGCAGGTGAAAGGGAGGAGACCTACGGTAGGAGACCTACGGTAGTTTGTGCAGGTGAAAGGGAGGAGACCTACGGTAGGAGACCTACGGTAGTTTGTGCAGGTGAACGGGAGGAGACCTACGGTAGTTTGTGCAGGTGAAAGGGAGGAGACCTACGGTAGGAAACCTACGGTAGGAGACCTACGGTAGTTTGTGCAGGTGAACGGGAGGAGACCTACGGTAGTTTGCAGGTGAAAGGGAGGAGACCTACGGTAGGAGACCTACGGTAGTTTGTGCAGGTGAACGGGAGGAGACCTACGGTAGTTTGTGCAGGTGACCGAGAGGAGACCTACGGTAGTTTGTGCAGGTGAAAGGGAGGAGACCTACGGTAGTTTGTGCAGGTGAAAGGGAGGAGACCTACGGTAGTTTGTGCAGGTGAACGGGAGGAGACCTACGGTAGGAGACCTACGGTAGTTTGTGCAGGTGAACGGGAGGAGACCTACGGTAGTTTGTGCAGGTGACCGAGAGGAGACCTACGGTAGTTTGTGCAGGTGAACGGGAGGAGACCTACGGTAGTTTGTGCAGGTGAAAGGGAGGAGACCTACGGTAGTTTGTTCAGGTGAAAGGGAGGAGACCTACGGTAGGAGACCTACGGTAGTTTGTGCAGGTGAAAGGGAGGAGACCTACGGTAGTTTGTGCAGGTGACCGAGAGGAGACCTACGGTAGTTTGTGCAGGTGAACGGGAGGAGACCTACGGTAGTTTGTGCAGGTGACCGAGAGGAGACCTACGGTAGTTTGTGCAGGTGAAAGGGAGGAGACCTACGGTAGTTTGTGCAGGTGAACGGGAGGAGACCTACGGTAGTTTGTGCAGGTGAACGGGAGGAGACCTACGGTAGTTTGTGCAGGTGACCGAGGAGACCTACGGTAGTTTGTGCAGGTGAACGGGAGGACCTACGGTAGTTTGTGCAGGTGAACGGGAGGAGACCTACGGTAGTTTGTGCAGGTGACCGGAGGAGACCTACGGTAGTTTGTGCAGGTGAACGGGAGGAGACCTACGGTAGTTTGTGCAGGTGACCGGGAGGAGACCTACGGTAGTTTGTGCAGGTGAAAGGGAGGAGACCTACGGTAGTTTGTTCAGGTGAAAGGGAGGAGACCTACGGTAGGAGACCTACGGTAGTTTGTGCAGGTGAAAGGGAGGAGACCTACGGTAGTTTGTGCAGGTGACCGAGAGGAGACCTACGGTAGTTTGTGCAGGTGAACGGGAGGAGACCTACGGTAGTTTGTGCAGGTGACCGAGAGGAGACCTACGGTAGTTTGTGCAGGTGAAAGGGAGGAGACCTACGGTAGTTTGTGCAGGTGAACGGGAGGAGACCTACGGTAGTTTGTGCAGGTGAAAGGGAGGAGACCTACGGTAGTTTGTGCAGGTGAACGGGAGGAGACCTACGGTAGTTTGTGCAGGTGAACGGGAGGAGACCTACGGTAGTTTGTGCAGGTGACCGAGAGGAGACCTACGGTAGTTTGTGCAGGTGAACGGAGGAGACCTACGGTAGTTTGTGCAGGTGACCGAGAGGAGACCTACGGTAGTTTGTGCAGGTGAACGGGAGGAGACCTACGGTAGTTTGTGCAGGTGAAAGGGAGGAGACCTACGGTAGGAGACCTACGGTAGTTTGTGCAGGTGAAAGGGAGGAGACCTACGGTAGTTTGTGCAGGTGAAAGGGAGGAGACCTACGGTAGTTTGTGCAGGTGAAAGGGAGGAGACCTACGGTAGGAGACCTACGGTAGTTTGTGCAGGTGAACGGGAGAAGACCTACGGTAGTTTGTGCAGGTGAACGGGAGGAGACCTACGGTACTTTGTGCAGGTGACCGAGAGGAGACCTACGGTAGTTTGTGGAGGTTGGAGGTGATGGCTTTGAGGACTCGGTCTGTCAGGTTCCTCAGGTTAATGATGGCGATGTCGATGCGTCTCTGGACTTCAGGGTGACTCAGAGCTTCAGCAGGTGAAACCTCGTATGGCAGAGAGCTGCAGGAACAAAGACAGGTGAGTCAGGTGTGGAACCCAGAATAAGAGATCGACAGAACTCCAGGTGAATCTGTGTGTCTGTTGCCACCTCTTGTGTCCGGTCTTGGTTTCGGTCTGGTTGATCCAGGTCTTGTACACTTCCACCGGGTCGGTCCTGATGCTGAGGGTTCGGTCCAGCAGGACATCCTGCAGGGCCGGACCCAAAGACTCCCGGAGGGTGTTCTGACCGCGAGCGTTACGATAAAAGTTGACCAACATCTTGATGATGGTGGGGTTACCAGTGACCACGTCCTGAGGCTGCTCCACCTTCAGTCTGACATCACCACACAGAGACAGGTAGATAAACCTTGTTACAACACAGGCCTTCACAGTGTGTGTGGTTTGTGTGTGTTTGTGTGCTGTCACCTGATCTCGTATCGCAGCGCCTCAGTGAACAGCTGCAGCAGCAGGAAGGCCTCCCTGCGGTCGGAGCCGTAGTTAAACAGACTGAACACCAACATCTCCATGAAGGAGGTGGAGCGACTCTGAGGCATCAAGAAGATCAGCTGAGCCAGGTACAGAGGCTGAGTCTGAAACAACACAGACACCCGGTTTAACATCTCCCCTGACCTCAGATCAGCTGAGCCAGGTACAGCGCTCTCAGGAAGTGACAGTGAGATGTAAAAAGCTGTGCATGGGTTCGGAGTCTGTTACAAACATCTGTGCGTCTCACCTGCAGCAGGTAGAAGAGGTGTTGGTAGGCCTCCAGCCTCTCCCTCCGCTCTCTGCTCAGAGCCTTTAGTCCTTTACTTCTCTCCCCGTCCATCATGTCTGACAGCTGCTCCTTGTTCTTCTTTGTCAGTTTCTTACAGTGAGACACCACTTCCTGTTTAGACAGAGAGAGAGAGAGAGAGAGAGAGAGACTCCTCAACACCAACAAAGTCCCTAGCAAGGCAGGCTGGAGTAGGGGATCAGGGTTTTGAAGTTTGGTTCTCATGAAATTCCCATTATACTGGCGATCGGGTTTCTTTGATCTGGGTAAAGGATCAAGGTACTCGGGATCCGAGAACAGAAAGGGTGTAAGGGGGTAAGGGATCGTGTTTCTGACGCCCTCGCTGCGCAGAGTACAAACAAAGCTTCACCTGTCAAACGGTCTCTGTACCTGCAGCGTGGCTCTGTTTCTGACCAGCAGGCCGATCTTCAGGTCCATCAGATCCAGGTCTGCCTCCAGCTGTCGGTTGAAGCGGATACTCCTCACTACCTCCTCCCTCAGACGCAGCAGCTCCGCCTCCTCTCTGATGTCACCGTCGCCCTGGTCGAGCAGGTGCACGAACTTCCTGACCACAGACAGGGGCGGCGTGGCCGAGTGCACTGAGACAGGTGAGGGGAGGAGTTTAATAATGACTTACTGCACCTGATAACTCAAACACGATATTAAATTATTTATAAATGAAATCAGCCATTCTGACCAATCAGAGGCAGCTTTCCATTAGGGTTTCCTCGTTAGTAAACTCACCCAGCATCCTGTACTCCTCTCGAGCCCTGTTGGCTCTGAAGAAGGCCTGAATCTTAATGACAGCACCCACCTGTGGACACACAGAGTTACTACACCCTTAGACCACAGAGACAGAGGATACTCCTTTCTGATTGGCAGGTGTCCGTCATGCAAAGATCCCTCTACCAGCTCTGATAGTTTAAGAAATAGGGTCACATGTTCAGATTGAGACTACTCTCAGGTGTGCGCTAAATATGAAGCTACAGCCGGCAGCTTAGCTTAGCTTAAAGACTGGAAACAGGGGGAAACTGCTAGCCTGGCTCAGTCTAACTGTAGAGTCCATATCTTCCATTTTTGGAAGGTGGGTGTTACACGTATTTCTCTTTAATAATGCTTTCTCCTACTGAAATGTGATGTAGTTTCTATTGAAATCTAAATTTTTTTTCTATTGAATGACGTAGTTTTACCTGGTCAGGCCTGTAAAAATGGTTCGAGGTGTCACACATATGTTTGAGCGTTCAGGGGAAACTGTCGGATTGATTTTACCTTCGAAGACGTGACAGAACACAAAGCTGAGACCGAAACGTCTGTCAGACCTGTTGTCATGTACGTGAACATCAGGAGACTCACGTGGCGTCTGAAGAAACGCAGTCGAGCTCGATATTTCCTCCTCGCCAACCACATCTTCACAAACGACTGGATCTGTGAACGCAAACAAAACCTGTTTCCATAACGCACTTCTTCTGGAGTTTAACAAGAACTTCAGGTTTTGCGTCCAGATGATAGATTTCATTTTGATTTGTGGAGGTTTGCCCTTTGGTTCGTCAGGAGACCTCGAAGGCTTTGTGAGTTGGTCGTTACCTTGACAACAGCTCTCCAGTTCATGTAGAGAAACTGCAGCCGCCGCCTGTATGCCGCCTGCCGGGTGAACCTCCTCCAATGGGACTGAACACAACAGGAAGATGAGCATCAGTAAAGCCACTGTTAACAGGACGTTAGAATCTCCACCAGCTGACGCCAAACTTTTAATGTGGATCATCTGTGCAGGTGACGTTCGCTTCTACGTTTTGACATGACGCTCAGATGATCCTCACAGCGGTGGAACAGCAGCAGAATCACTTAGAACATGTGATAAGAGCTACATTTAATATCTCTTATCACATCACATGAGCACTCGAGAAATGGCACATAAACATCAAACAGGTACATTAATCTAAAAAATATTTCATCTGAAAATCAATACATTCATTGATTATTCAACAGAGACATGAAATTACTGCAGCACTTTTTTGTAGTTCTAATAAATAACGAGCAGTCTTCTTCACTTCATTAAATATGTCAGACGTTCTACACTCACGAGGAGGAGAACGTTCCTGAAACTCGACGCCCCCAAACAGGCTGTCAGCAGCGTTCTCACCTGGATGACGATGACAGCAGGTGTCTGACTGCTCAGGTAACGCCGTCTGGCCTCCAGCTTCTGTCTGATCAGGAACCCTCGACTGACAGCCTGCAGACCAACGACGAGGGCTTCACTGCTCCGCCAGAGGACGCTGCGGCTGTATGAGCCTGAAACGCTGCTGACTACTTTCTGCAGAGGGGGACATTACATCACTGCTGCTGACCAATCACAGGCAGGGGACAAATGTTTACATTCATTCCCTGAAAATGTAGAAAGAATCTGTCCTGTGAACAGACCGCTGACCCCCCAGGTGCGTCAGACCGCCGACTCCCCCCAGGTGCGTCAGACCGCCGACCCCCCAGGTGACTCAGACCACTGACCCCTCCCCCAGGTGACTCAGACCGCTGACCCCCCCAGGTGAGTCTCACCTGTATCTGGTGTTGGTCGAGAAACACGCTGTTGTGTACGAAGCCGCTGGGTTTCTCCCAGGTGCCCTCCAGTCTGTTCAGGTGAAAGTAGTAGAACGAGCCGTCGTCCAGTCGGAATCGAACCCACGGACTCCGGTTGTCTCCTGAACACACAGAGCGGAGGACAGACTGCTTCAGATTTTTAAAAGGTATAAAAAAAACTCCATCTGGAGCTGTTTCTCGCCACTGGGACAAAGTATCAGGATTGTTGCTAACTGCCGTTAGCTAGTTAGCCGTGCAGCTAGCTGGCTCTGCCCAGACCGGGAGCGTTTGTTTAAACCACTAGCTCAGGAGCTGTGGACGGGGTGAAGTGGTTTTCTCCTGCTGGTTGGTCGACACGCTCAGAATCATTAGCGCTGCTGCTCGGAGAATGTAGATCTTCAAGGCTCATGGTTGCTGATAACGTTCTGTCTCCGCCTGAAGCTCAAAAAACTTAAACTCCCCAAAATATTTATTTTAATCGTTACATTAACATCATAAACGTGCGAGTTGACCACAGCGAGGCAGGCGGCCCTTGTGATCGGTCAGTCGTACCTCTGTGTATCCGGTCTGTGATCAGGCTGTGGAGGTCTCTCTGATAATCTGCTGCACAGGCAGGAATCACGCCCTGCAGCTGGACCTCAGGTAACGCCAGAACACGGAGAGTCTGGTTCACTTTGTTCTCCTTCACGGCCTGATTCACTGCTGCTACTGACAGACACACTGAACACAGAGAGAGAACAGCAGCATCATTACTTCAGCAGATCCTCCTCATGAGCATATTCTAATAATAATATTAAATATATTACAGGTTCACAAGAATTGTTTAATGTTCACTCGGTTTTTAAAGGACCTGTTAAACACAGCAGCAGCTTTCAGAGACATTTCTACATGAATGGCGCTCTGAAAGCTCCACCTCCTCTCGCCCTGATACACCGTCGTACCATTTTCATTCAAACATCTTTGATTATTTTATCTTTTATTATTCTCTCCTTTCAAATGTTGTTTTTTCTGTTTTTTTGTTAATGTGAAAACCAAATCTTTGAGTTGTGAATGAGCTGCAGGCTGATCAGGTTTTGTGTCTCTGCGATCAATAAATCCTCTCAGACTCACGCTTCAGAGCTCTCTGACTCTGCTGATTGGCTCTGCTCACTGCCTCTTGGATATCAGCCAACCACAGGTCTGCTCCCGGGTCTCTGCTCACCTGATTGGACAGAAGGGCGACACATGACGTCAAAGTGTATGAATGATGAAGATTGGTTCAGGTCTCAGTAACATCTACAAATACAAAGTCCAGTTTCAGCTTCACCGTTACGCCGATGACAAGCAGCTCTATATGCCGGTCAGACCCGGGGGGCGGTATAACATCACTCACAGAAATCTTGCTGAAATCCATTACTGGATGTCACAACTTCCTACATCTCAACTTTACCAGCTCGGACGTCACTGTACTCGCTTCCCCAGCTCACAAAACTTAAATCATGGCAAACCTCTGAACTAGCAGCTGATGCTAAGCCCTCTCCCAGAAACTGTGGAGTAGTCCTTGACCAGGACTTGTGGTTTGAACCCCACGTAAAGAAAGTTATTCAGTTATGTCTTTATTTTGTTAGAAACCTGCCTCTTAGACCCCATCCCGACTAGGTTGCTTAAAGATGTTCTACCCTTAGTCAGCACTTCTATACTAGATATGATCAAGCTATCTCTATCAACAGGCTATGTACCACAGTACTTTAAAGTAGCTGTAATTAAACCTCTTCCGAAAAAGCCCAAACTTGATCCGGATGTTTTAGCCAACTATAGACCTATATCTAACCTTCCATTTCTCTCTAAGGTTCTGGAGAAAGCAGTTGCTAAACAGCTGTGTGACTTTCTACAGAGCAATAGTTTATTTGAGGATTTTCAGTCAGGATTTAGAGTTCATCATAGCACAGAGACAGCACTGGTGAAAATTACTAACGACCTCCTTATTGCATCAGACAAAGGACTTGTCTCTGTACTGGTTTTATTAGATCTTAGTGCTGCATTTGATACCATTGACCATCAGATCCTATTGCAGAGACTGGAACATTTCATTGGCATTAAAGGAACCGCTCTAAGCTGGTTTAAGTCCTATTTATCAGATCGATTTCAGTTTGTACATGTTAACGATGAGTCCTCCATGCACGCCAAAGTTAGTCATGGAGTTCCTCAAGGATCTGTCCTTGGACCAATCCTCTTCACTTTATATATGCTTCCTTTAGGCAATATTATCAGGAAACATTCCATAAACTTTCATTGTTATGCAGATGATACTCAGTTATATCTATCGATCAAGCCAGATGATACTTATCAGTTAGCTAAACTTCAAATGTGCCTTCAGGATGTTAAAACCTGGATGACCTGTAATTTTCTAAGGTTGTAATTTCTAACGCAGATAAAACTGAAGTTATTGTTCTTGGGCCTAAGCACCTCCGTGACGCATTATCTAAAGATATAGTTTCCCTGGATGGCATCGACCTGGCCTCCAGCACCACTGTGAGGAATCTTGGAGTTATCTTTGATCAGGACACGTCTCACATTAAGCAAATTTCAAGGACCGCCTTTTTTCACCTACGTAATATTGCGAAAATCAGGAACATCCTGTCTAAAAATGATGCAGAAAAACTAGTCCATGCATTTGTTACTTCTAGGCTTGATTACTGAATTGAAATATTGCTGCTCCCGAGTATATTCAAGGCTTAACTACTCCAAGGTCTAGGCTATAAACCAAAGGGGACAGGGCCTTTGCTGTCAGGACCCCTACAGTCTGGATCAGTTTCCAGAGGAGATCAGGCTCAGAGTACAAAAAATGTATACAAAAAAAACATTTCCCTGTGTGATGTGTCATTTATTTATTTAAAAGTGCTGTAAATCTAATTTGTTATTAGATTTCCTTTATTTGCAGATTGACTTCTTTATGTTTTATTCGTTGAATGATGCTAATTTTTATTTGGCTTCTCGTCTATGTTTTGAGTATTGTGAAGCACTTTGCTTCCTGTGATGAAAAGTGCTGCAGAAATAAAGCTATTCTCATTGTTTCTACCACCTGTGGTTGGTTACCTGTGTGGACTCACCTGAGCTTTGTGCTGCCTGGCTCTGCTCAGCAGGATCAGGTATCTGCAGGCGTTTGCAGGTAAAACCTCGTCCACGCCGCAGGAGGGCAGCATCAGAGCCACCAGCAGCTGCTGAGAGTCTCCTCTGACCACAGCGGCGTTGATCTGACCCACAGCCAGCAGCTCTGAAGGTCAGAGGTCAGACAGAGGTGATGCATTAACAGCTGCACCAACAGTAGGAAATGGTATACACTTCCTGTCTCTAAGTGGGCGTGGTCGCCAGCCCCCCGTGGTGAGACCTTCTGGACGTGTAGAAGAATGCAGGACATTAATTAACATCAGATCCTGTCGGTGTGTCGGACATTTTAATAATCAGTGAAGTTACGCTGCTGCGCCTTGTGCGTAAACGTGCACGGCGTCTCTCTCCCCGTCGGAGCAATGCGACCTGAAATAACAACAAACGGTGAAATACTGCCACCGACTTCAGACCTGGTTATTTTTGGTCACTTTCTGCTGCCTCAGCCCAAAACTCCCACAGACGGGCACGAGCGCATGTGCTAGTTAAACAAGGTGGCTGTGAAAAGGACGACTGCGCTGGGTGGAAAGTAGAAATGATGGGAGCAAAATGGGCCCTAAATCTCAAAGTTAATTTCCTCCTGATACGTCTGATGATGAGGCCAAAGAATCGGTCCTGATCTGAGCTCACGTCCCATCAGACTGAACAGACTGCCTGTCTCCTAAAGGGGCGGGGCAAAGACCAAACCGACGGGGCACAGAAACAGGAAGTGAACCGTTAATTTTGTTTGGTGTGTGTGTGTGTGTGTGTGTGTGTGTGTGTGTGTGTGTGTGTGTGTGTGTGTGTGTGTGTGTGTGTCCATACGCTGGTGTTCGTCCTGCGCTGTGTTGTTCACACAGTTGATTCCTTCCTGCAGCTGATTCCAGGTCAGCAGATCTCTGCCCGCCTGCTGCTTCACACCAACCAGACTCTGGAAGTACCTGAAGGCACAATGACATCATCATCATCAGGGCTGAATGATAGAATATCTAAATTGCGATTTTTCGGACAGTTAGTGATTACGATTCGATTTGCGATTTATTTTATTGAAGTTTTGCTAAAGTAGAATTTTTACAGCCGGTCAATTTTTGACTGAAGCTGCGTGATGCAGCATAGAGCAGATGAACTAGGCAGGAAGTCAGACACAGAACGGCAGAGTATCCGGTCGATTTTCAAAATAAAACACCCTTTTTAGACTCCTGATCGTACATCAACAATAAACACATTTAAAGCAGACCAAAAGGGAAACTACGTAGCTACTTAACCAGAGTAGATAAATAAATAAATAAAGAACAAATAAGCAAAATCTGAACAAGTCAACATCTGACAGGCAAAACGCTCTTATTCTGAAATGCTCCATGTGGATGTAAAGTCAGCCACAGAGAGCTGCTATCTGAAGTTCACAAAATGACAAATTCACGACACGCTAACAACGTGCAGGCTGAACGCTCCGCTGCTCAAACACGTCAGTGTGAGTTGACGCCGGACGACACCACGGCTCAGTCGCTGCCCGTGTCGGTTCAGCTGGCACCATTAACCCACGTTTTCCTCAGTTTGGTTTGTTGCTGTAAAATGTGCACGCCCTGTACTCTGATTGGTCAGTAGGATTGGAACAGCAGGCGCATGGCGCTTGTGATTGGTTAGCAGATCTGTCACACAAGGATGACAACGGTGTGAATCTGTAACTGCACGACTGTTTAAAACGGCTCAGACGTGTAATTAACCTACATTTTAATCGCCGTCTTCACGATTAGCTAATGGTGTTCTTTCCTATTTTAGTTTTTATGAGAGCGCTGAGGGAAACGTCTAGCGAAGGCAGGGCGAGTTAGCTTTTAGCTCTCTGACCTGCTAACAGCGTGTGAAGCTCTCAGTGTTGCTGCTCTTGATGTGTCGTCGTCCACCAAACATGATCACCCAACAGCATCTCCTGTTCATTTTAAATCCAGCAGCGATTAAATTAGTTGTAAAAGTGTGAGAAGAGGAGAAACTGCAGACCGCTCTGTGTCTCTCTCAGCTGTTACTTTTATAATGGAAGGAATGGATCTGGATAATGCATACTTAGATGGTTTTCATATGTTTACAAAGGGTACTGGCAGGAATTTTATTGTCTAAGCAAACAAAATGGTAACTTTATTTGTAGGTTTCAATATAAATCATCAGTACATTTAATCTTTTTGATCACACTGATGACAAAGTTTCATCCCTAAAGGCCCAGACTGGCAGGAAAAGACCCAGAAGAGACAGAACTTTCTGAGGTTCTGCACTGCGACCTGGTGGAGACGGTGGCAGAGGACAGGCTCTGCAGAGGACCTTGTTAAAGACCCCTCAACCATCAGGCAAGAAGCAGAGAGGCCTCAGAACCAGGACCAGACTGGGGAACAGCTTCATTCCACAGTGAGGACGTTAAATTCATCACACGAGTTTCTGCACTAAGGTGCTTTCTGATCTCAGAGCCACTTTCAGTTCTGGACACTTTGTGTTTAATGTTACACATCAGACAGACAGACAGACAAAGAGACAGACAGGTAAAGAGGCAGACAGACAGACAGACAGATGGAGAGACAGACAGGTAAAGAGGCAGACAGACAGACAGACGGAGAGACAGACAGGTAAAGAGGCAGACAGACAGATGGAGAGACAGACAGGTAAAGAGGCAGACAGACAGACAGATGGAGAGACAGACAGGTAAAGAGGCAGACAGACAGACAGATGGAGAGACAGACAGGTAAAGAGGCAGACAGACAGACAGACAGATGGAGAGACAGACAGGTAAAGAGGCAGACAGACAGGTGGAGAGACAGACAGACAGACAGACAGATGGAGAGACAGACAGGTAAAGAGGCAGACAGGTGGAGAGACAGGCAGACAGACAGACAGGTGGAGAGACAGGCAGACAGGTAAAGAGGCAGACAGACAGGTATAACGAGTCATACCTGTCCAGCAGGGTGTGGTCTACATCAGAAAGTCCTGCAGACGGACTGACCAATGAGGAGCAGAACTGTTGTAGCTGTCCCGCCTCTATCGCCTGATTGATGAGAGCGACAGCCGACAGCATCTCCACGGCAACAAAGAGCTCCTCCTGCTGCAGCTCCCCCTGGTGGAGACACACAGGTAACATACTCATGAATATTCATGAATTCAGTGTTCTGCTGCACCAGTGCTGCGTGTTCAGGAGCGTGTTCTGCTGCGTGTTCAGGAGCGTGTTCTGCTGCGTGTTCAGGAGCGTGTTCTGCTGCGTGTTCAGGAGCATGTTCAGGAGCGTGTTCAGGAGCGTGTTCAGGAGCGTGTTCTGCTGCGTGTTCAGGAGCGTGTTCAGGAGCATGTTCAGGAGCGTGTTCAGGAGCATGTTCAGGAGCGTGTTCAGGAGCGTGTTCAAGTGCGTGTTCAGGAGCGTGTTCAGGTGCGTGTTCAGGAGCGTGTTCAGGTGCGTGTTCAGGAGCGTGTTCAGGTGCGTGTTCAGGAGCGTGTTCAGGTGCGTGTTCAGGTGCGTGTTCAGGTGCGTGTTCAGGTGCGTGTTCAGGTGCGTGTTCAGGAGCATGTTCAGGAGCATGTTCAAGTGCGTGTTCAGGAGCATGTTCAGGAGCGTGTTCAGGAGCGTGTTCAGGTGCGTGTTCAGGTGCGTGTTCAGGTGCGTGTTCAGGTGCTTGTTCTGCTGCGTGTTCTGCTGCGTGTTCAGGAGCGTGTTCAGGAGCGTGTTCAGGAGCGTGTTCAGGAGCGTGTTCAGGAGCGTGTTCAGGTGCGTGTTCAGGAGCGTGTTCAGGAGCGTGTTCAGGAGCATGTTCAGGAGCATGTTCAGGAGCGTGTTCAAGTGCGTGTTCAAGTGCGTGTTCAGGAGCATGTTCAGGAGCGTGTTCAAGTGCATGTTCAGGTGCATGTTCAGGAGCGTGTTCAGGAGCGTGTTCTGCTGCGTGTTCAGGAGCGTGTTCAGGTGCATGTTCAGGTGCGTGTTCAGGTGCGTGTTCAGGAGTGTGTTCAGGAGTGTGTTCTGCTGCGTGTTCTGCTGTGTGTTCTGCTGCATGTTCAGGAGCGTGTTCAGGAGTGTGTTCTGCTGCGTGTTCTGCTGCGTGTTCAGGAGCGTGTTCAGGTGCATGTTCAGGTGCGTGTTCAGGAGCGTGTTCAGGAGCGTGTTCTGCTGCGTGTTCAGGAGCATGTTCAGGAGCGTGTTCAGGTGCATGTTCAGGTGCGTGTTCAGGTGCGTGTTCAGGAGTGTGTTCTGCTGCGTGTTCTGCTGCGTGTTCTGCTGCGTGTTCAGGAGCGTGTTCTGCTGCGTGTTCAGGTGCGTGTTCAGGAGCGTGTTCAGGTGCATGTTCAGGAGTGTGTTCTGCTGCGTGTTCTGCTGCGTGTTCAGGAGCGTGTTCTGCTGCGTGTTCAGGTGCGTGTTCAGGAGCGTGTTCAGGTGCATGTTCAGGAGTATGTTCAGGTGCATGTTCAGGAGTGTGTTCTGCTGCGTGTTCAGGAGCGTGTTCTGCTGCGTGTTCAGGAGTGTGTTCTGCTGCGTGTTCAGGTGTACCTCAGGAGTCTGTCTCTGCAGCAGCTGCAGCTCTCGGTGGTACAGAGTCGCAGCGAATGGAAACACTTCCGGCAGCTGGAGGTCAGAGTTCATCAGACAGCTGACCGTGTGTCTGCAGTCACTGAGACGCAGCGACGCATTAACGCTCTGCACCGCTGCATGCACTGAAACACACACACACAAACACCCATAACTTAACATCAGAGTGGGAAGACGAGGTGGTGTCGGGGTCAAGGTTAGGGAGGCAGGGGGGTCAGGGTGCATCAGTGAGGCTGTAGACACACCGGTATGGACTAGGACAGACCCGGTGTGTGACTTACCGGTTCTGGCTCTCTGAGCGTCCCGGTTGGCTATGGTCACGCCCTCTTGCAGCTCATCAGGCTCCAGAGGATCAACACAGCCCTGGTCCTGGGGTCAGAGGTCAGAGTCATCAGGCAGAATCTTTACACACTAAATTCTTTTGTCTTATCGCCCTAAACTCTGGCATCTAAACGCCGTTCAGATCAAAGACCTGGGCCTGAACTTGGCTCTGTGTATTTCTGTGTATTTGTGTACTGCTGTGAGTACCAGGGCCTTCTGCTGGCGGTCTGCTGACAGCTGGTCCAGGTACCAGGGTCCGTTGTCAGTACGGAGGCCCCTGAGGGCCAAACATGGCAGCTGCAGAGCCGAGAGCAGAGACAGTTCATCCACAGAGTCCAGAGCTTCATCCACCTGCTCCACCGCCGATCGCACTGACACACAGACACAATCAGCATATGATCAATATTACATTTTATAGAGTTTTAACATGTGATCAAAGAACTGCTCCGGCTCAGCTGCAGACCGAAGACACATGTTCCAGCTGGGCTGTGATTGGTCGCTGCATGTCTTCAGTCGCAGTCTAACTAAAGCTGCACAACGCCATTTGTTCAAAAGGTTTTGTTCTGTTTGTTGAAAATCAGATGTTCTGACGCAGAAAACTATCTATGGGTGTCACAGACTGTAATAACCTACCTGGCCCACTTGGTCTACCTGACCTACCTGTGTGCACTCACTGTGCATGGACATGTGTTTTGGAGGAGGATTTTTTCAGTTGAGAAATAAAGACAGATGTTTGTCTGAGTGGAACTCACTGTTCACCATGTTGATGTTGTCCTGGATCTCCCTCTGAGTCAGGAACTCCTCATAGATATCCTTCTCCTCTGGACCTCCACACTGAGACACAGACAGCAACAGACTCAGTAACACACAGAGCAACAGACTCAGTAACACACAGAGCAACAGACTCAGTTACAGACAGAGTAACAGACTCAGTTACAGACAGAGTAACAGACTCAGTAACACACAGAGTAACAGACTCAGTTACAGACAGAGTAACAGACTCAGTTACAGACAGAGTAACAGACTCAGTAACACACAGAGTAACAGACTCAGTAACACACAGAGTAACAGACTCAGTAACACACAGAGCAACAGACTCAGTAACACACAGAGCAACAGACTCAGTTACAGACAGAGTAACAGACTCAGTTACAGACAGAGTAACAGACTCAGTAACACACAGAGTAACAGACTCAGTTACAGACAGAGTAACAGACTCAGTAACACACAGAGTGACTCAGTTACAGACAGAGTAACAGACTCAGTTACAGACAGAGTGACTCAGTTACAGACAGAGTAACAGACTCAGTAACACACAGAGTGACTCAGTTACAGACAGAGTAACAGACTCAGTTACAGACAGAGTGACTCAGTTACAGACAGAGTGACTCAGTTACAGACAGAGTAACAGACTCAGTAACACACAGAGTGACTCAGTTACAGACAGAGTAACAGACTCAGTAACACACAGAGTAACAGACTCAGTTACAGACAGAGTAACAGACTCAGTTACAGACAGAGTAACAGACTCAGTTACAGACAGAGTGACTCAGTTACAGACAGAGTAACAGACTCAGTTACAGACAGAGTAACAGACTCAGTTACAGACAGAGTAACAGACTCAGTAACACACAGAGTAACAGACTCAGTTACAGACAGAGTAACAGACTCAGTTACAGACAGAGTAACAGACTCAGTAACACACAGAGTAACAGACTCAGTTACAGACAGAGTGACTCAGTTACAGACAGAGTATCCGCTCTAAGCTGGTTTAAGTCCTATTTATCAGATCGATTTCAGTTTGTACATGTTAACGATGAGTCCTCCATGCACGCCAAAGTTAGTCATGGAGTTCCACTAGGATCTATCCTCGGACCAATCCTCTTCACTTTATATATGCTTCCTTTACGCAATATTATCAGGAAACATTCCATAAGCTTTCATTGTTATGCAGATGATACTCAGTTATATCTATCATGTGCTCCCAGTTTTTTTCATTTAGATGCTCTAAATGTACTCCTTGGGAAAAAGGTTAGCATAGAGCCCTGCTGTCATCATAAAGACAATAATGTCTTCTGACTAGATAGACGCACTTCTCTTTGACCAATCAGAGGTGAGACTCACCTTGCTGGCTGCCTGCTCTTCTTTCCTCCTCTTGGCCTGATGCAGCATCTCCTGGTAGACGCTCATCAGCGCCTCCTGCAGGTTACTGAGCAGGGCATTAGGGTTCCTCAGCGCCGCCGCCGTGACCTCCACCTGACCTCTGTCCACCGCCTCGTTAATGGCGATCACCGCCGCATGGACTGATGGGAAAAAGACACCAGTTCACCGTCTTGTCCTTCCCCCCTTGCCTCCCCTCCTCACCTATCCCCCCCTCCCCCATGTGACCTCTACCTGCAGCCTCGTCCACTGACATCTCATTGGCCAGAATTCCTCCAATCTTGTTGAATGCCGGCATCTGGATCCCATATTTATCCAGCTCCAGCTTCATGTTGTCGATCTCCTCCTCTGAACACAGAGAATTTTAAACTCAGACTTCATGTGCACTGAGCTGATATCGGTTACTGTTAACCAGTGACACCAGGTGGAAACAAACAGGTTACCTGTGAACTTGACCTTTCCATACAGGTCGTGGATCTGTGGAGCCAGACCTCGTCTGTACAGGTACAGGCTGCAGACAGACAGGCAGAGGGAGAGACAGACTGAATGAACTCCACCTTCAAATCACAGCCTCAGGGAACTTCTGTAGGCAGTGAACGCACTAAAAGAAGAAGCTCGTGCGTAGAGCTCTCTATGCTATCAAACAGAAATTCCCAATTAAAAATATCTGACAGTGTCATTAAGCTGCTCTGTGGAAGTGAAGTTTGGGTCCACTCAGTCATCATAGCTACATCAGAAGGGAGAAGCACCGAGACCCTACATGCAGAATTCTGCAGAAACATCCTGCACTTTCAAAGAACGTCTCCTACAGAGGCATGTAGCGCAGAACCAGCGAGGTTTCCTCTGACAGGAGCACTAAACCTCATGCACCCCAGATCAAGTCCCCAAGACCCCCTCCAGGTCAAGGCTTATCAAACCCTGAAGAGAGTCCCTTAAGCATGATTTATACTTCTGTGTCAGGGCTACGCCGCTACGCACGTAGCCATGCATTTACACTTGTGCGTCGGTGTCTGTGTCGTCCTGCAATTACACCGCCCAACGCCAGTCCACTGTGTTGACATTTAGCAGCCGAGCAGGCTAACTTCCTGTTTAGCCATCAGCTAACTTTAAAGAGGTGGAATTCTGCTCATTTTCAGGTTCTTATTTAGGGGTTGTAACAGAAAAGGTTTACATGGTTTAAAAAAACTACAAACGAGCCGTTTTCAGTTCGGAGCAGAGTTTTCTGTGGGAGATGGAACTCCCTTTGGGCTTTTTCACTTTGCAAACATGTTACAGCACAAAAAAGGAATATAACTCAATAAAGGAGAGGGAAAAAGCCAAAAAGCAGAACACCACCTCTTTAATGGGGTGCGGCTGGTGTAGCCTTTTCAGATGTTATCGACCGAATGGATCACATTGTGAGGAGAGACGTAGTTGATGTTGTTGTTTGGACTGAGACTGAAATAAGCAGATGTGTTAGAAACGAACGTGTTGAAACGGAGTTGTAAGAGTTTGATGAAGTTCTAAGGAAGCGCTGAATATCTCGCGGCATCTCCACCAGCATCACGTTGTTTCAGTGCGGGGTCCGTCCGGTTATTGTTTTTAGTTATTTTCCCTCTTCAACAAATGAACTAAGGAGACACCGTTTCACACGCGCACAATCTTTTTTTTGTAGGCACAGTCACTAAAGAGGAAGTGACCATGTGACCAACTGTTGCCGTCATGACTGAGATCTACACCAAAGTGTTTATTTATTGATTCATTTGCTGCAGGTGAAACAATGCGAGACACACATTTGGAACAAGACGTGAGGGAGGTGTCACATCGGCCCCTGTGAACAGGCCCCGTTCCTAATAAAGCTTATTGAAATGAGAGAGTCAGGCTTCTGACAGTCAGACAGGTGAACACACCTGAGGGCGTGGATGCAGTAGACGGCTCTCGGCATGTTTTTCTTGTCGTACACGTCTGTAGTTTCTGGGTGGAAGATCTGAAATAACAACAAGCGATTACTGATCGATACTCCGATCAGCTGATCAACAACCTGATCAGTCAGTAACAGTCTGCTCACTGACCGTCGGCAGCCCGAGCGTCGTCATGGCGATCCTCCAGTGGTTGATGTTGTCGGTGTGACGGAACTGAAGACCCACAACCTGATCAGATCAACACACAGCTGATTATTAACAGGTTAGCACATCCTGATATTAATAATATTAGTAATAAAAATAATCAGCACGGTTTTTGAACAGTAGAGAACTGGCTGTGTGTGAGACCTGGTATCGGAGCTGGTCCGGGTCATAGATCTTCTTCAGGGGGACGGCGTTCGGAGCGAATCGGTGACCCAGCTTGGCGAGAATGACCCCGTTCCTCAGCGCTTCCTCCAGCTCGGTGGGAGCAGGAAGCTCCTCCCCCAGACACGCCTCCATCCACCTGAGGAAGAGGAGACAGTGAGGTCATATGAGATGTCACTGAGTACAGAAACTGCATGACGTGGACCTCCGAGGACGAAGAAGAAGAAGAAGAGACGATGTTGATGATGCTGTTCTGACCCGCCTACTGACCACCAGCTCTCTGGAAAATGACATCACCATCTGTAGGAGATCCCACAGACCGTTTATAGGCTGCTTTATGTTTGGACGGCGACTTCATCCTACAGAGACTGAAGTACTAACTAGTACTAAGAACTACCTGTTGTAGGTTTTTAAAGCTTCAGTGTGTACGTTTTAGTGCCATCTAGTGGTGAGGGTTGCAAAATGCAACCAGCAGCTCACGGTGCATTCAGGTGCTCCTCTGATTGTGAAGTCATTCTTCAGACTTCAGTGTGTTCATGTGCTCATAAGTCTGAACAACATGGATGCTGCTACAAAGACGAGCAGATAAACAACACGCAGACATCTAGTCCACTCTGCGTGGACAGCAAACTAACCGTTAGAACCAGGTTACACTTTACATGTTTGCAAAATATCCAATACCTGCTCTGTACGCTTCTTTATGTCCCATGTTCACTTTATTTCTCTTTTGGCAATAAAGATTTAAGGAGGAAAAAAAGATTCTGATCATTCTGACACCACATGAATGCACCATCAGTCCCCCCCCCCCCCTCCTCCCTCCCTCCCTTTGTAAGCGAGCAGGAGAAGCAAAGATGGCCGACTATTGAATAAATATAGTCCCAAATGTTTTGTAGCTGTATGAAAAAGTTTTGTACCTGTGCGGAAAATCTGATCAGAAAAATCCAAAGTTTACAGGCACGTACTTTTGTCCCACATTTGACACGATCTACTGAATAGCCAATGGGAATGCTCGGGTTAACATATCATTTGACTAACCAATCAGGAATGTCAGTTCACCATCCAGACATTTCTGTCTACAGACACCGCGAGGCCTCTTAAAGGGACGCCGCCATGTTTCTACATATGTATCCAGCACAATTCTGAAACACGCTCTGTAGAGCAGTTTGTCCGTTTTCAGCTACTGTAGAAACATGGCGGCTCAACATAGTGGCGTCCCTTTAAGAGGCCTTGCGGTGTCTGTAGACAGAAATGTCTCATTCTGAGGTGATAAAAACAGAACGGTTCATCATGTCACACCGCTGAGAACACAGGTATGGATCTTAGATTGTAGACCCTCCTGAATGTTCCACACTGGACCTTTAAATAAATTAATCTGATGGTGGAACGACCACTAATTCAGAGCCCGAGGCCGTTAATGTGGAAACGCCGTCACGCAGCCGAGCTACACGCTATCAGAAGACACCTGTTCATTCAGACATTCACACGGTCTTCCTGCCTGTGTCAGCTGTGTCTCAGTCTAGCGTCACAGTTTGCTCTTGGTTTGTAAAATATGACGCTCCGCGGCCAGTAGACCGTCCACGTCTGCGACTGGCCATCTGCTGCTGACTCCGCCTCTTTTATATGAACACGATCCAGGATCGGGAAACCAGCTTTATGTGACGGCTGATCCTGAAGCCTGATAACAGAGAGAGATCCTGGTGTGTTGAACTCGCTTCGTGGATCACTGACCTCTTGGCCTCCTCCAGCCTGCAGAGATACTGATAGGCCACATTCTGGATCCTCTGCTCATCCATCTGCTCTGCTGTCAGACGCTCATCTGAACAAAGACAGTAGACGGGTCAACAGGCAGACGGGTAAACAGGCAGACGGGGTAAACAGGCAGACGGGGTAAACAGACAGACGGGCAGACGGGTCAACAGGCAGACGGGGTAAACAGGCAGACGGGGTAAACAGACAGACGGGCAAACGGGTCAACAGACAGACGGGTCAACAGACAGACGGGCAAACGGGCAGAGGGGCAAACGGCCAGAGGGGTAAACAGACAGACGGGTCAACAGGCAGACGGGGTAAACAGACAGACGGGTCAACAGGCAGACGGGCAAACGGGCAGAGGGGTAAACAGACAGACGGGTCAACAGACAGACGGGTCAACGGGTAAACAGACAGACGGGTCAACAGACAGACGGGTCAACGGGTAAACAGACAGATGGGTCAACAGACAGACGGGTCAACAGGCAGACGGGCAAACGGGCAGAGGGGTCAACAGACAGACGGGTCAACAGACAAGACGGGTCAACGGGTAAACAGACGGGTCAACGGGTAAACAGACGGGTCAACGGGTAAACAGACAGACGGGTAAACAGACAGACGGGTAAACAGACAGACGGGTCAACGGGTAAACAGACAGACGGATAAACAGACAGACGGATAAACAGACAGACGGATAAACAGACAGACGGGTCAACAGACAGACGGGTCAACAGACAGACGGGTCAACGGGTAAACAGACAGACGGATAAACAGACAGACGGGTCAACGGATAAACAGGCAGACGGATAAACAGGCAGACGGGTCAACGGATAAACAGGCAGACGGATAAACAGGCAGACGGGGTAAACAGGCAGACGGAGCAAACAGGCAGACGGGGTAAACAGGCAGACGGGGTAAACAGGCAGAGGGGCAAACAGGCAGACGGGCAAACAGGCAGACGGGGTAAACAGGCAGACGGAGCAAACAGGCAGACGGGGTAAACAGGCAGACGGGGTAAACAGGCAGACGGATAAACAGGCAGACGGGGTAAACAGGCAGACGGAGCAAACAGGCAGACGGGGTAAACAGGCAGACGGGGTAAACAGGCAGACGGAGCAAACAGGCAGACGGGGTAAACAGGCAGACGGGGTAAACAGGCAGAGGGGCAAACAGGCAGAGGGGCAAACAGGCAGACGGAGCAAACAGGCAGACAGGTAAACAGGCAGACGGGGCAAACAGGCAGAGGGGCAAACAGGCAGACGGAGCAAACAGGCAGACGGAGCAAACAGGCAGACGGGTCAACAGACAGACGGGTCAACGGGTAAACAGACAGACGGATAAACAGACAGACGGGTCAACGGATAAACAGGCAGACGGATAAACAGGCAGACGGGGTAAACAGGCAGACGGGGTAAACAGGCAGACGGAGCAAACAGGCAGACGGGGTAAACAGGCAGAGGGGCAAACAGGCAGAGGGGCAAACAGGCAGACGGAGCAAACAGGCAGACGGAGCAAACAGGCAGACGGGTCAACAGGCAGACGGGTCAACAGGCAGACGGGTCAACAGGCAGACGGGTCAACAGGCAGACGGGTAAACAGGCAGACGGGTCAACAGGCAGACAGGTAAACAGGCAGACGGGGTAAACAGGCAGACGGGGCAAACAGGCAGACGGAGCAAACAGGCAGACGGAGCAAACAGGCAGACGGGTCAACAGGCAGACGGGTCAACAGGCAGACGGGTAAACAGGCAGACGGGTAAACAGGCAGACGGGTAAACAGGCAGACAGGTGGGTTCGTGTGCAGCCTTTAAACTATAATTTTTCTCTTCTTGTTTATTTAAATTATAAAAGGTTTAGTGTTTTTGTGATCCGAGTGTCGACTGATAGAAACACTGATAACAGCCTGACCCTCTCAGGTGTGAGACTTGACCATATTTCGCTGAGGGAACCTCTGGACTAAATAATATTATAACTACTGAAGTCGATGATGAAATGAAAGGTTAATATTTATCTGATGTGAATCTTCCAGAATAAATCAGTTATCAAAGTGTGAAAGTTGGCAACAAATCAAACTATTTCTAACCATAACTGCTTTTAACTGCTTTTCTACATTAAACTAGTGTTTCCTTCAGTTATTATGATCCACTTAATAAAAAGACTTGTAAACCTGATAAACATGGCAGGAGGCAGAACAGGTTGTAGAGGGAACTTCTGCCACGCAGCAGACAAAAGACATCAACATAGAAGCAGTTATTCTAAACATGGTAAACAGAAATAAACTATCTTCAGTGGAGCTCGATCAAAAACAGGATACTTTATTAAAGTCTGATAAAGTGACTCACAGCGACTGTGTCCGGCTGAATCCGCCATGTTAATCAGCTCGGTCCTCTCGGTGATCAAACTTCTCTCCAGTGTGACTTCACAGCGTGATGAAAACCTGAGCTCGGTCCTGGTTCTGGTTCTGGTTCTGAGTCTCGGTGGTCTGAAACTGTCCGCTGCTCCCAGCTGCTTCCGGTCTAAAGTTTGAAAACTCCCGCCGTCCTCTGATTGGCCGAACGACCAGCCGCTTCTCCCATTGGTTCTAGCGTTGCCGCAGTGGCTTGTGGTCAATGTATGTTGCTGTCGTTAAAACAAACTTTTAGTTTTTGAAACTTCTTCATGTTATTAGACTCAGACAGTTGGTTTATATTCATCCATCCATCCACCGTAAACCGCTTATTATTTAACGTTATTTATTATTTATTTATTTCGTTTCCTCGTCGCCATAGTAACGACGAGTAGGCGTTGCTATGGCTGCCAGCCGCTTCTTCAAACACGTCACTTCTTATTAAAAACATATCGATCTTCCTCCTTCAGTTATTGACAGCTGATCGACGGACGGCTCCGCGTGAGGAAGCTTCACCTGTAACCTGTAAGTGTTCACCTGTTAGCTAGCGCTGCTAACAGTTAGCCGGGGTCATCAAACAGTCAGAGACCTCTAACCTGCCTCACTTTAATAATAACAACACAGTCTTTATTTAAAAACATTTCATCGAATCTGAAATATTTAAAGCAGAAACGTTTGGATTTGATTTTATTGGGTAAATAATTTATTCACAATCTTCCTTATTCTGCCTCTCATTTTAGTTTCTTTCATGTTCAGTTTATTGATCATCAGTTTGAGCTTCATGTGCTGAGGCCTCCAGCAGAGGGCGCTGTTAGCTTTAGCTTTAGCTTTAGCTGAACCCAAACAGGAAGTGGAAAGGTGGCTCTTCAAAATAAATCTCTGTCTCCTTCACACAAAAATATAAATTTGTGAGCTTGAAACAGAATAATGCTCCACTGGAGGAACTGGATGTTTCGTCCATATTTTATTAATCAGGTAAAAACATTTAATCTGTTTCATTTTACACTTTAATAATGATGAGAGTTTTTATTATTATTAATGTTGTTGTTGATTGTTGGTCAGATCTGATGAGCAGTCTGAGGACTTCATTATATTATATTGATCACATATAGATTACTGTAAATTACTGATCAATCGAAACTATGAGCTGATTCATTGATAACAGCAGCCATGCTTCTCAGGTGTGTTTCTGTCTCTTCAGACCCTGTCCAGGTGAGGTCTCCTCCTGCAGGTCCAACATGGCGTCTGATGCGTCTCGTTCAGGTGACGGCGAGGTTAAGGTGAGGAGGAGGAGCGAGGAGAGGAGGAGCGAAGACAGAAGGAGCGAAGAGAGGAGGAGCGAGGAGAGGAGGAGCGAGGAGAGGAAGGAGGTTCAGGAAGCGGGCATCGAGGAGTTAACGTCTGCCGGTCACAGAGCGCTGCAGGAGGGCCGGACGGAGGACGCTTTGACCTGCTTCAACCACGCACTGAAGGCTGCAGGACAGGTGAGGGTCTGAGGTCAGAGGTCACCTACAGGTGACTCTGCTAACAGACTCCATGTACAGAGACTGAGTGCAACAGATTTTCTGAAAACGTAGTTCTGGTTCTTCACCTGTTGGTGGCACAGCACACGGTGACACCTGCACCTAACACGAAGTGAACAAAGGGCCTCAGGTGTGGGCGGGACTTCAGTGCACTCTGTCTCTATACAGTTTACACAGTGGAGGCTCATTGGCTGCTGCTGTTTGTTACAGCGAAGCGTCAGAGCACGACTCCGCGTGGGAGTTTCACCACATCTACTAACAGCTGACATGAAGTTATGATACAGGATAGTAACAGTAGTAATATCAACAGTAGTAGTATTTACAGTAGTAGGAGTACTTACTGTAGTAGTGGTACCTGCAGTAGTAGTAGTAACAGTAGGAGTATTTACAGTAGTAGTAGCACTAGTGGCAGATTTTCAGTCTGAGTATTATTGGATCTCAGTACTGCACTCCACCACAACATGGAACTGACCCACTACAGAACTGGGCTGGACTTTCTGGTACTGTCCTAAACTGGTCTGAATCCTACATGTAGGACAGGGACAACTTTGTGTCTGCTGGTTCCGCTTCTGTTGAACATCTACATGCTGCCACTGGCCCAGATTATGAAAACCACCGATATGCAGACGACTCACAGATTTACATAACAAAACCTGCAGGTGACCGCGATCCAAACAGGCACTGAGGTTCTGCATGGAACTAACCAACAACTGGACGGGGCAGAATATTCTTTAATTTAATAAAGTCACTGATTAAAAGTCAGAGCTCAGCTTCGGTCAGTAATTTTTGAAAACCACAAGCCAGAGATCCTGAACTCAGAGCTGAACTTTAGCAGCCACATTAAGACAAAGTCAGTCTGCTGTCAGCTGAAGAACAGATCAGGGACTAAAGGACTTGTGTCTCAGCAGGACCTGGACCTGCATTTTTCTTCAGCCGACTGGTCTTTACAGGTCTACCTGAAACCTGGACCGCAGCAGATTCAGAACGCTGCTGCTCGAGTCCTCACTAAGACCAACACAGTGGATCACATGAGTCCAGTTCTGAGGTCTTTACACTGTCCTGTCTGACAGAGAACTGGTTTTAAAATCCTGCTGCTGGTTTACAAAGAACAGTTTCTGATCTTCTGCTCCATTATGAACCATCCAGACCTCTCAGCTGGTCTGGGATCAGGTCTGCATTCTATCCCCAAACTAAACCTGGTTTTATGCTCCATATATCTGGAACAAACTCTCAGAAACCTGCAAATCTGCTGAAACTCAGTTCTTTAATTAAACTTCAGGCTTTAGATTAAAAACCTCCACTGTTTTACTCTTTTATCATGTTTTTAAAATCAGTATTTAAATATTTCCCTGTTCTTCAAATCTTTGGATTTCCTTGTTGAAATGTACAAATAAACCTGCGTTACCTGCAGTAATATTAGTACTTACAGTAGTTTTAGTATTAACAGTAGTATTAGTACTTGCAGTAGTAGTACTTGCAGTAATAGTAGTAGTACTTGTAGTGGTCATAAAACTCTTGTTGATTTCCCATCATGCTCTGCTCCTCTTCAGCTGCAGGACTCGCGGGTCCTCCGGGCCTGTTCTTTTAACCTCGGTGCAGCCTATGTGGAGGCGGGCCGGCCTCAGAAAGGTCTGGACCTCCTGCGTCTGGCTCAGTCTGGTCCGAAGGCCGACCGGCTCCCGGACCTCCAGTTCAACCTGGCCCTGGCCCACAATGAACTGGGGCAGAACCAACAGGCCGCCGCCTACTTCCTGCAGGCCGCTCAGCTGTACCGGTCACAGGGAGACGGAGGCAGCGAGGGGGACGCCTGCATGGAGCTGAGCCGCTGCTACAGCAGAGTACAGGTCAGAACCGGAACCAGGAACAGAACCTGAACCAGAACTAGGGACAGATCCTGAACCTAAACCAGAGCTGGATTAGGTCCAGGTGTGGGACCATAATTTACTAAATGAACATCATGCTGTGCTGAAGACTTCAAACTAGCGACTGAGACCATAAACTCATCAGGAAAGTGTTTACTGAGGGAACAAATCAGCTGAGAAGTAGAAACATTTTCTCACAGACTTCTATACAATCACACTTCTTTCTGCAGCCGCTGGAGTCGCCCCCTGCTGGCTGCTGGAGAGGACGCAGGTTTAAGTCGCCCCCTGCTGGCTGTTAGAGAGGACGCAGGTTTAAGTCGCCCCCTGCTGGCTGTTAGAGAGGACGCAGGTTTAAGTCGCCCCCTGCTGGCTGCTAGAGAGGACGCAGGTTTAAGTCGCCCCCTGCTGGCTGCTAGAGAGGACGCAGGTTTAAGTCGCCCCCTGCTGGCCGCTAGAGAGGACGCAGGTTTAAGTCGCCCCCTGCTGGCCGCTAGAGAGGACGCAGGTTTAAGGCGCCCCCTGCTGGCCGTTAGAGAGGACGCAGGTTTAAGTCGCCCCCTGCTGGCTGCTAGAGAGGACGCAGGTTTAAGTCGCCCCCTGCTGGCTGCTAGAGAGGACGCAGGTTTAAGTCGCCCCCTGCTGGCTGCTAGAGAGGACGCAGGTTTAAGTCGCCCCCTGCTGGCCGCTAGAGAGGACACAGGTTTAAGTCGCCCCCTGCTGGCCGCTAGAGAGGACGCAGGTTTAAGTCGCCCCCTGCTGGCCGCTAGAGAGGACACAGGTTTAAGTCGCCCCCTGCTGGCCGTTAGAGAGGACGCAGGTTTAAGTCGCCCCCTGCTGGCTGTTAGAGAGGACGCAGGTTTAAGTCGCCCCCTGCTGGCTGCTAGAGAGGACGCAGGTTTAAGTCGCCCCCTGCTGGCTGCTAGAGAGGACGCAGGTTTAAGTCGCCCCCTGCTGGCCGCTAGAGAGGACGCAGGTTTAAGTCGCCCCCTGCTGGCCGCTAGAGAGGACGCAGGTTTAAGGCGCCCCCTGCTGGCCGCTAGAGGACGCAGGTTTAAGTCGCCCCCTGCTGGCTGCTAGAGAGGACGCAGGTTTAAGTCGCCCCCTGCTGGCCGCTAGAGAGGACGCAGGTTTAAGTCGCCCCCTGCTGGCCGCTAGAGGACGCAGGTTTAAGTCGCCCCCTGCTGGCTGCTAGAGAGGACGCAGGTTTAAGGCGCCCCCTGCTGGCCGCTAGAGAGGACGCAGGTTTAAGTCGCCCCCTGCTGGCCGCTAGAGAGGACGCAGGTTTAAGGCGCCCCCTGCTGGCCGCTAGAGAGGACACAGGTTTAAGGCGCCCCCTGCTGGCTGCTGGAGAGGACGCAGGTTTAAGGAGGTTTCAGGTGCTTCAGGTTCAGACCTGGAGGTTCCTACTTCATTGAGATTACAGAAATAACATTTGGCAACCTCTCGTCACTTCACTACAACTCTTGATTGGCCAGGATGTTAAGTTTCTAATATTTTGGTCTCTGACGGTTCAAGTCTCAGGTGACCTCTCTCTCTCTCTCTGTGCAGGACTGGTCTCTGGCAGTTGAGGCCTCAGGTGACCTCTCTCTCTCTCTCTGTGCAGGACTGTAATCTGGCGGTTCAGGTTCAGGTGACCTCTCTCTCTCTCTCTGTGTTCAGGACTGTCCTCTGGCGGTTCAGGTCTCAGGTGACCTTTCTCTCAGTGCAGGACTGGTCTCTGGCGGTTCAGGTCTCAGGTGACCTCTCTCTCTCTCTCTGTGCAGGACTGGTCTCTGGCAGTTGAGGCCTCAGGTGACCTCTCTTTCTCTCTCTCTGTGCAGGACTGGTCTCTGGCGGTTCAGGTCTCAGGTGACCTCTCTCTCTCTCTGTGCAGGACTGGTCTCTGGCAGTTCAGGTCTCAGGTGACCTATCTCTCTCTCTGTGTGCAGGACTGGTCTCTGGCGGGTTCAGGTCTCAGGTGACCTCTTTCTCTCTCTCTGTGTGCAGGACTGGTCTCTGGCGGTTCAGGTCTCATGTGACCTCTTTCTCTCTCTGTGTGCAGGACTGGTCTATAGCGGTTCAGGTCTCAGGTGACCTCTCTCTCTCTCTCTCTGTGAGCAGGACTGGTCTCTGGCGGTTCAGGTCTCAGGTGACCTCTCTCTCTCTCTCTGTGCAGGACTGGTCTCTGGCAGTTGAGGCCTCAGGTGACCTCTCTTTCTCTCTCTCTGTGCAGGACTGGTCTCTGGCAGTTCAGGTCTCAGGTGACCTCTCTCTCTCTCTCTGTGTACAGGACTGGTCTCTGGCGGTTCAGGTCTCAGGTGACCTATCTCTCTCTCTGTGTGCAGGACTGGTCTCTGGCGGTTCAGGTCTCATGTGACCTCTTTCTCTCTCTCTGTGTGCAGGACTGGTCTCTAGCGGTTCAGGTCTCAGGTGACCTCTCTCTCTCTCTCTGTGTGAGCAGGACTGGCCTCTGGCGGTTCAGGTCTCAGGTGACCTCTCTCTCTCTCTGTGTTCAGGACTGGTCTCTGGCGGTTCAGGTCTCAGGTGACCTCTCTCTCTCTCTGTGTTCAGGACTGGTCTCTGGCGGTTCAGGTCTCAGGTGACCTCTCTCCCTCTCTGTGTTCAGGACTGGTCTCTGGCGGTTCAGGCCTCAGGTGACCTCTCTCTCTCTCTCTGTGTGTGCAGGACTGGTCTCTGGCGGTTCAGGTCTCAGGTGACCTCTCTCTCTCTCTCTCTGTGTGCAGGACTGGTCTCTGGCGGGTCAGGTCTCAGGTGACCTCTCTCTCTCTCTCTGTGTGCAGGACTGTCATCTGGCGGTTCAGATCTCAGGTGACCTCTCTCTCTCTCTCTGTGTACAGGACTGGTCTCTGGCGGTTCAGGTCTCAGGTGACCTATCTCTCTCTCTGTGTGCAGGACTGGTCTCTGGCGGTTCAGGTCTCAGGTGACCTCTTTCTCTCTCTCTCTGTGTGCAGGACTGGTCTCTGGCGGTTCAGGTCTGAGGTGACCTATCTCTCTCTGTGTTCAGGACTGGCCTCTGGCGGTTCAGGTCTCAGGTGACCTCTTTCTCTCTCTCTGTGTGCAGGACTGGTCTCTAGCAGTTCAGGTCTCAGGTGACCTCTTTCTCTCTCTGTGTTCAGGACTGGTCTCTGGCGGTTCAGGTCTCAGGTGACCTCTCTCTCTCTCTGTGTGCAGGACTGGTCTCTAGCAGTTCAGGTCTCAGGTGACCTCTTCTCTCTCTGTGTGCAGGACTGGCCTCTGGCGGTTCAGGTCTCAGGTGACCTCTCTCTCTCTCTGTGTGCAGGACTGGTCTCTAGCAGTTCAGGTCTCAGGTGACCTATCTCTCTCTCTGTGTTCAGGACTGGCCTCTGGCGGTTCAGGTCTCAGGTGACCTCTTTCTCTCTCTCTGTGTGCAGGACTGGTCTCTAGCAGTTCAGGTCTCAGGTGACCTATCTCTCTCTCTGTGTGCAGGACTGGCCTCTGGCGGTTCAGGTCTCAGGTGACCTCTCTCTCTCTCTCGAGCAGGACTGGCCTCTGGCGGTTCAGGCCTCAGGTGACCTCTCTCTCTCTCTCTGTGTGCAGGACTGGTCTCTGGCGGTTCAGGTCTCAGGTGACCTCTCTCTCTCTCTGTGTGCAGGACTGGTCTCTAGCGGTTCAGGTCTCAGGTGACCTATCTCTCTCTCTGTGTGCAGGACTGGCCTCTGGCGGTTCAGGTCTCAGGTGACCTCTCTCTCTCTCTGTGAGCAGGACTGGCCTCTGGCGGTTCAGGTCTCAGGTGACCTCTTCTCTCTCTCTGTGTGCAGGACTGGTCTCTGGCGGTTCAGGCCTCAGGTGACCTCTCTCTCCCTCTGTGTGCAGGACTGGTCTCTGGCGGTTCAGGTCTCAGGTGACCTCTCTCTCTCTGTGTGTTCAGGACTGGTCTCTGGCGGTTCAGGTCTCAGGTGACCTCTTTCTCTCTCTGTGCAGGACTGGTCTCTGGCGGTTCAGGTCTCAGGTGACCTCTCTCTCTCTCTGTGTGCAGGACTGGTCTCTGGCGGTTCAGGTCTCAGGTGACCTCTCTCTCTCTCTGTGTGCAGGACTGGTCTCTGGCGGTTCAGGTCTCAGGTGACCTCTCTCTCTCTCTGTGTTCAGGACTGGTCTCTGGCGGTTCAGGTCTCAGGTGACCTCTCTCTCTCTCTCTGTGTGCAGGACTGGTCTCTAGCGGTTCAGGTCTCAGGTGACCTATCTCTCTCTCTGTGTGCAGGACTGGCCTCTGGCGGTTCAGGTCTCAGGTGACCTCTCTCTCTCTCTGTGAGCAGGACTGGCCTCTGGCGGTTCAGGTCTCAGGTGACCTCTTTCTCTCTCTCTGTGTGCAGGACTGGCCTCTAGCGGTTCAGGCCTCAGGTGACCTCTCTCTCTCTCTCTGTGTGCAGGACTGGTCTCTGGCGGTTCAGGTCTCAGGTGACCTCTCTCTCTCTCTGTGTGTTCAGGACTGGTCTCTGGCGGTTCAGGTCTCAGGTGACCTCTTTCTCTCTCTCTGTGCAGGACTGGTCTCTGGCGGTTCAGGTCTCAGGTGACCTCTCTCTCTCTCTCTGTGCAGGACTGGTCTCTGGCGGTTCAGGTCTCAGGTGACCTCTCTCTCTCTCTCTGTGTGCAGGACTGGTCTCTGGCGGTTCAGGTCTCAGGTGACCTCTCTCTCTCTCTGTGTGCAGGACTGGTCTCTGGCGGTTCAGGCCTCAGGTGACCTCTCTCTCCCTCTCTCTCTCTCTCTCTCTCTCTCTCTCTCTCTCTCTGTGTGCAGGACTGGCCTCTGGCGGTTCAGGTCTCAGGTGACCTCTCTCTCTCTCTGTGAGCAGGACTGGCCTCTGGCGGTTCAGGTCTCAGGTGACCTCTTTCTCTCTCTCTGTGTGCAGGACTGGCCTCTGGCGGTTCAGGCCTCAGGTGACCTCTCTCTCTCTCTCTGTGTGCAGGACTGGTCTCTGGCGGTTCAGGTCTCAGGTGACCTCTCTCTCTCTCTGTGTGTTCAGGACTGGTCTCTGGCGGTTCAGGTCTCAGGTGACCTCTTTCTCTCTCTCTGTGCAGGACTGGTCTCTGGCGGTTCAGGTCTCAGGTGACCTCTCTCTCTCTCTCTGTGTGCAGGACTGGTCTCTGGCGGTTCAGGCCTCAGGTGACCTCTCTCTCTCTCTGTGTGCAGGACTGGTCTCTGGCGGTTCAGGCCTCAGGTGACCTCTCTCTCCCTCTCTCTCTCTCTCTCTCTCTCTCTCTCCTCTCTCTCTCTCTCTCTCTCTCTCTCTCTCTGTGTGCAGGACTGGCCTCTGGCGGTTCAGGTCTCAGGTGACCTCTCTCTCTCTCTGTGTGCAGGACTGGTCTCTGGCGGTTCAGGTCTCAGGTGACCTCTTTCTCTCTCTCTGTGTGCAGGACTGGCCTCTGGCGGTTCAGGCCTCAGGTGACCTCTCTCTCTCTCTGTGTGTGCAGGACTGGTCTCTGGCGTTCAGGTCTCAGGTGACCTCTCTCTCTCTCTGTGTGTTCAGGACTGGTCTCTGGCGTTCAGGTCTCAGGTGACCTCTTTCTCTCTCTCTGTGCAGGACTGGTCTCTGGCGGTTCAGGTCTCAGGTGACCTCTCTCTCTCTCTGTGTGCAGGACTGGTCTCTGGCGGTTCAGGCCTCAGGTGACCTCTCTCTCTCTCTCTGTGTGCAGGACTGGTCTCTGGCGGTTCAGGTCTCAGGTGACCTCTCTCTCTCTCTGTGTTCAGGACTGGTCTCTGGCGGTTCAGGCCTCAGGTGACCTCTCTCTCTCTCTCTCTCTCTCTCTCTCTCTCTCTCTCTCTGTGTGTGCAGGACTGGTCTCTGGCGGTTCAGGTTCAGGTGACCTCTCTCTCTCTCTCTCTCTCTCTCTCTCTCTCTCTCTCTCTCTCTCTGTGTGCAGGACTGGTCTCTGGCGGTTCAGGTTTCAGGTGACCTCTCTCTCTCTCTCTGTGTGCAGGACTGGTCTCTGGCGGTTCAGGTCTCAGGTGACCTCTCTCTCCATCTCTGTGTACAGGACTGGTCTCTGGCGGTTCAGGTCTCAGGTGACCTCTCTCTCCTCTGTGTACAGGACTGGTCTCTGGCGGTTCAGGTCTCAGGTGACTTCTCTCTCCCTCTCTGTGTGCAGGACTGGTCTCTGGCGGTTCAGGTCTCAGGTGACTTCTCTCTCCCTCTCTGTGTGCAGGACTGGTCTCTGGCGGTTCAGGTCTCAGGTGACTTCTCTCCCTCTCTGTGTGCAGGACTGGTCTCTGGCGGTTCAGGTCTCAGGTGACTTCTCTCTCCCTCTCTGTGTGCAGGACTGGTCTCTGGCGGTTCAGGTCTCAGGTGACCTCTCTCTCTCTCTCTGTGTGCAGGACTGGCCTCTGGCGGTTCAGGTCTCAGGTGACTTCTCTCTCCCTCTCTGTGTGCAGGACTGGTCTCTGGCGGTTCAGGTCTCAGGTGACCTCTCTCTCTCCCTCTCTGTGTACAGGACTGGCCTCTGGCGGTTCAGGGTTTCCTGCGGGCTGCAGAGAGTTACAGACTGGCGGCCATGTTGGATTCTGCAGCCGCTGCCCTAAAAGAGGCAGGAAGTCACATGATCCAATCGGATCAGTTCAGCCATAATGACATCATCGGCGTGCTGACAGAGTGTCTGAGTTTGACAGACAGCATCACTGACCCGAGGATTCTGGGTAATCACCTTCAGTACTGTTAAAAAGTGAATTTAATTAAACGGTTTATTTTTCAGCTGATTGAATAACTGTCAGTCTGTCTGCTTCTGTTGTCCAGGTGAGTTGTACCTGTCAGTGGGTGTGTCTTACTGCCATCTCAGGTGTTTCCAGGACGCCGCGCGGTGCTTCCAGCTGGCTCTGGGCCCCGCGGCTCAGCGCCCCCCCTGCTGGCCAAAGTGCTGCACAACCTGGGAGCTGCTCTGAACTCTGTGGGCCAGTTCACACCTGCTGTGGGCTACCACAGGCTGGCCGCTGGACTCTACGGTCAGACTCCGCCCATCACCTGTCACTGCAATCAATCAATCAGGGGCCGCACTGATCAGGTGTCTCAGAGCAGGAAGTCAGCCCTGACTCTTCTTTAGTTAGTGGATATTAAATTTAATATGTTCATTATGTGTGACATCACAGAAATCAATCAGCAGGTGAGTCACATGATCAGCCTGCAGCTTAAACTCCCTGTGATTGGTCCCAGATTTGGTATACATGTTCACTGTACGTCAGTATATTATGACATCATCATTTACAGGTTTCTGTTTCTGTGTGCAGGCTCTCTGGGTTGCCGTGGCGACCAGGCTCGGTGTTTCAGTAACTTGGCTTTTGCCTTCAGTCAGCTGGGTGATGAAGAGGAGGCGGCGGAGAGCTTCATCCACGCTCTGCAGGGATTCAGAGACACAGGTGATATTAGTAACGGCGTCCTGCTGTCCAGCTTTTAAAGCAGAAACACTGAAATATGAAAGAGAAGAAGGAACTCGCTCTGTACCCGTCTGTGTCTCTGCAGAGGACCACCTGGCTCAGGTCCAGGTGTGTGAGTCGTTGGCAGAGTGTTACCTGAAGCAGAGGAAGCAGAAGAAAGCTGTCCAGCTCTACAAACAGGCTCTGGCCGCCCTGACTCACTGCAAGGTAACAACACAGCAGCGTGTTAATGTAAGGGGGTCAAAGGTCAGAGGTCACGCACTCTAACCAGTCACAGCTCATATTTTATACCTTCAGGACAGTTCTGGCTCTGTTCGGGATCGTCTGGTGGAGCGTCTGACTGCAGCTCTACAGCAGAGTCTGACTGTCAGTCCGCAGGTCTGATCACATGACACAACGCTGACCGACTGCCAAAACACCACATCAAACTGACCGACCGCCAAAACACCACATCAAGCTGACCGACCGCCAAAACACCACATCAAGCTGACCGACCGCCAAAACACCACATCAAGCTGACCGACCGCCAAAACACCACATCAAGCTGACCGACCGCCAAAACACCACATCAAGCTGACCGACCGCCAAAACACCACATCAAACTGACCGACCGCCAAAACACCACATCAAACTGACCGACCGCCAAAACACCACATCACGCGACCGACCGCCAAAACACCACTTCAAACTGACCGACCGCCAAAACACCACATCAAACTGACCGACCGCCAAAACACCACATCAAACTGACCGACCGCCAAAACACCACATCAAACTGTCCGACCGCCAAAACACCACATCAAACTGACAGACCGCCAAAACACCACATCAAACTGACGACCGCCAAAACCACATCAAACTGACCGACCGCCAAAACACCACTTCAACTGTCCGACCGCCAAAACACCACATCAAACTGTCCGACCGCCAAAACACCACATCAAACTGACCGACCGCCAAAACACCACATCAAACTGACCGACCGCCAAAACACCACATCAAACTGACAGACCGCCAAAACACCACATCAAACTGACCGACCGCCAAAACACCACATCAAACTGACCGACCGCCAAAACACCACATCAAACTGACCGACCGCCAAAACACCACATCAAACTGACAGACCGCCAAAACACCACATCAAACTGACCGACCGCCAAAACACCACATCAAACTGACAGACCGCCAAAACACCACATCAAACTGACCGACCGCCAAAACACCACATCAAACTGACAGACCGCCAAAACACCACATCAAACTGACCGACCGCCAAAACACCACATCAAACTGACCGACCGCCAAAACACCACATCAAACTGACAGACCGCCAAAACACCACATCAAACTGACCGACCGCCAAAACACCACTTCACGCTGACTGACAGGAGCAACTTTTACATTTGATTCATTAATCACCTTTTTTCACACTCAGAGGCCACGCCCACACAGACCACCTATTGGACAGCGGGCCAGGTAATAGCCAATCAGCTCTACTGTCACTGTAACACACCTGAGCCAGAACATAGCAGAGCAACTATTTACTTGCAATTTATTTATTCTGACATTTATCAGTTCTGTCCCTGCCCAGCTGTTTTCATTAATCTGCTCCGCCCCCTCACAGGAAGAGTGACATCACACAGAGTCCATGCCAAGTGTCAACCAGCAATCAGACAGTCAGAGGTGGGAGGGGCAAGGTGAGTCTCTCCTGTTCCAGGTAGAATAACAAAGTAAACATAGAGGCTTCACAACTTTATTTTGCATGATTTAAAATATAAATATAAATGTCAGAGTTGACACAGAGGAAGCACCACAGGAGGAAAAGGTACAAACTCCCAGGTGACTGGCAGGTAAGCTCCAACTAAACGAGCAAAGTAAATCCAACACGGCAGCGAGTGTGAGTGAGTGAGACAGAGTGTCATTACCTGCTGATCAGTTTCCCAGTGTTGACGTCAGTAACTTCCTCCTGTCTGTTGTGGGTCCGTCAGGTGCTACAGTGTCAGAGCAGGAGGCCACAGCTAGACAGGAAGCAGCAGAGCATTGCGGGTCAGCAGGCCGCGGAGCCACTGGAGCACCTGGACTACACAGGTTACACACAGATTGATCATAATCGCGCAGCACGGCAGTTATTTATAAATCAGTCTTATTGATTTGCTACGACCCGACCTGCAGACGGGCCCTGAGCCAGAGGTTGAGAACCTGTTTCTTTTGTCTCTCTGTGCTTCCAGGTCAGACCAGCTGCAGCACAGTGAGTCACCTGTTACACCTGGTCCTGAGTTCTCCTGGTTCTCTGAAGTTCTACTGAGAACCCAGGAGAACCCGTCTATGACACATAATTTCAGAACTGTCTGAAGATGTTCCATTAACAGACAGGAAGTGTTCGTGATGACGTACCTGTGTTTTTCAGGTGAGCTGTGGTTGGACAGAGAGAAGCTGCTCACTGACAGGTGACTGACCGCCGTCAACCAAACCAAACTTTATTTATAAAACTTTATTTATAAAGATCCAAATTATCGACATTAAAAACACAAAGCTGATTGGCCCTTGTTTTCTTTCAGTGAAACCTCATTGGTCCAGGAGAAAGATACCCCACCCGCCGGCCCAGATGATGTCAGAGAGGCCACACCCCCAGGTGGAGGTCTCGGATCTGTTTACTGATGTAGACCCGCCTGCCTGACACTTTCATTGATCACATGTTGATGAGAGATCAAAGTCTCTGTGATCACTGGACTGAATATAGAGACTGGTTTCCATGGAAACTACAGGAAGAAAACAGCGTTGCTTTAATATGCGTCATCACAGAGATGTGCAGATAACTGCAGATACTATACTGT